GAAAGACACTTCTCCAAAGAGGACATACAGATGGCCAATAGACATATGAAAAGATGTTCAATGTCACAAATCATCAGAGAATTGCAAATTAAAACCACACCTGTCAGAATAGCTATCCTATATAATAAAAGCCTAGTATGCGAATTGTTTAACCAGGAGTTCAACCAAAAGTTCAACCGTTCACTATGACATGCACTGATCACCAGGGGGTAGCACGGAACATGGCAGGTGTTGGCAATGCGGCATTGGCAGCAGGTGGCATTGGAGGTACTGCTGGCCCCAATGGGCCCAGACAAGAGCAGGACTGATATGGAATGATGGAGCAGGTGAGCAGCCAGCACCAGGCCAAGGCGAGTGCAAGCAGGAGCCTGATCGCCCTGCTGATTGCCTCACACACAGCAACCAGCGACCAGCAGCAGGGGGCGGGGCGGCCACCCAGCTCCCAGGCACTGAGGGAGCCAGGTGGGGGCCTGATCCTAATTGATCAACCTGCAGGTGGGGTGGTAGCGCATATGAGGGGGCAGGGCCAGGCCATGGCAGGGTGCCAGGTGGGACTGCAGGGCTGCAAGGCTAGGGGCATGAGCTGGGACCCAATCCCCACAGGCAACCCCAAGAAACCCTATCCATGTATGAATTTGTGCACCAGGCCTCTAGTCATCAATAAATCAACAAACAACAAGTGTTGGAGAGGATGCAGAGAAAAGGGAACCCTTGTACAATATTGGTGGGAATACAGATTGGTGACCACCGTATGGAGTTACCTCAAAAGGTTAAAAATGGAACTGCCTTGTGGCCCAGTGATTCCATATCTGGGAATTTATCCAAAGAAACCTGAAACACTAATTTGAAAGAATGTATGCACCCCTATTTCATTGCAGCATTATTTACAATAGCCAAGATTTGGAAACAGCCCAAGTGCCCATCAGTAGATGAGTGGATAAAAAAGCTATAGTACATTTACATAATGGAATACCTCTCATCCATAAAAGGGAAGAAAATTTTACCCTTTGTGACAGCATGGGTGGACCTGGGGAACGTTATGCTAAGTGAAATAAGCCATTCAGAGAAAGACAAGTACCATATAATTTTACTCATATGTGAAATTTAATGAACAAACTGGACTAATAATAAGCAAAAGAAAGACAGACTCAGATAAAGAGCAGGCAGGCAGCTCTAATGGGGGGATAAGAAGAAAAGAAAAAAGAAAGAACTCATGGACACAACAGTGATGATTGCAGGAATCTGGGGTGGGTGGAGGTGGAAAGGGTTAGGAGAGGACAAATGGTGATGAAAAATACTAAATAAAATAAAGAGAAAAATAATTTTCTACAGTACCATGAAAAGCAATTGGTGGTTCCAGCCAAGCACTAGGATTATTCAGAAAGGTGTATATGTCTATACACTAGATATCAAAAGAAAATTTTTAAAGAGCAATTACTATAGCAGTAAAGCTTTCAAGTTCCAGATTAGGCAAAATGGAAATATAATAACATCCCTAAAAACTATGTATTTTTATTTTTTCTGTAGTCATTTTCTACCATCAAAGCAATATTTCTAGGAGAAACTATAAATTCCCTATTTTCTGTGGATCTTTATGTTCTATGAATTAAGGTTTAATACATACTAAGTTTATTTTTTTATTTTTTTTAATATATTTTTATTGATTTTTCACAGAGAGGAAGAGGGAGGGATAGAGAGCTAGAAACGTCGATGAGAGAGAATCATCAACCAGCTGCCTCTTGCACACCCCCTACTGGGGATGTGCCCGCAACCAAGGTACATGCCCTTGACCGGAATTGAACCCGGGACCCTTCAGTCTGCAGACCGACGCTCTATCCATTGAGCCAAACCGGTGCCGGCAATACATACTAAGTTTAATAATTATTGAAAGTACTTTGGTCTTACTTTCACAAAATAAGACGTGCATGTCTTAAAACTAATAAATACAGCTTACATGCAGAATTTTCTCCATAACAAACTGAACCTACATCATAATGTAGTCTCTTCCCACTTAGAAAAATCCAACTTTTAATATATTGTGATCATGAAATGGACATCGGCCAAAGTTAGAGTTCGTTATACAGCTCTGATTCCCACAACCATAAGGACAAGCTTTGATTTCTATTACAATTGAGAATGAGCCTGAAGATACTTCTACAGGAAATTAATATTTAACTTTGGTATTTTTCTGGCTTATAGTAACCATAGCATAAACAGGGAACCTATTAAGCAGCACATCCAATTTGTCTGTGCCTTCATTGCCCTCTAGTGGCTATTTTGAAACTAGTTATTAAAAGTGGTATTAGCCTTCAAAAGTGGTATTTCCTCAAAGCAAATGGGCAGGCCAGCAGCATCAACAACATCCAGGAACTTCTTAGACAAATTTCACACTCCACCTAAGATCTACTAAAAAAAATTGTGGATGGAAATACAATAAATCCTCCAGATGACTCTCATGTACACTAATGTTTAAGAACCACTAGTGTAAGGGAAGCCTTCTATTCATATTTCAAGTAGACATGAAAGTATATGGATGTTTGGGAATGTGAATTTTATGTTAACTTGACTAGGCTAAGGGATGCTCAAATATCTGGTAAAACATTATTTCTGTGTGTGTCTGTGAGGATGTTTTTTCCTCAAACTAGCATTTGAATTGGTGAAGTGAGTGAAGCAAATGCCGTCCCCAGTGTGGGTAGTATCATCAATTTGTTGAGGGACTAAATAAAACTGAAAAAGCACAGGAAGAGCAAAATCACTCTGTCTGCCTGAACTAAGATATCCATCTTCCCCTTCCCTTTGACATGGGTACTCTGTTTCTCTGGCTTTCGGACTCAGATCAGGACATACACCATTAGCCCCACGATTCCTAGGCCTTCAGACTGGGATTCAATTACACCACAGGTTTCCATGGTTCTCCAACTTGCCGACAGATATCGTGGCCTTCACAACCATCTGAGTTCCTATAATAACTATATATATATATATATATATATATATATATATATCCTTGAGAACCCTGAGAACCTCTGTAGTACAATGCATATGACTGTTCTTTTATGAGAGTATTGCTTATAATTATTCCCATGCTTTTCCTACATTTCAAAATGCCTTTTATATGTGCAGAATAATCTATAAAAGTGTATAATTAGTTGGGAAGATTTAAAAGTGCTGTATATCCATGACTGATTGATATAGAAAAAAATAGAATAAAATAAGTAAAAGTAAATCCATTAGATATTAAATATTCACTTTAAGAATTTGCTAACTAGCCAAAACATCTGACTAGGATCTACCCATTTATTTCTTGGCTATAAACTCAATGGGAAAATGTTCATTGATGAAATGATCATTCAATCCATGTTTGTGTGGGGCATTTAATATTCAAGTTTATATATATATGTAAATATAAAACAATATATGTCGTTTTAAAACCACTTTTCCATTACATAAATTGCTATGTCCAATATTCATTATAATATTATTCATGATAGCCAAGAGGTAGAAGCAACCCAGTGATTGATAAGTAGAGAAAATGTGACATATACATAGAATAGAATATTATTCAGCCTTAAAGAAGAAATTCCTGTCCAGAAGTGTGGCTCAGTGAACCTATGAACCAGGAGGTCATGGTTCAATTCCTGGTCAGGGCGCATGCCCAGTTGCAGGCTCAATCCCCAGTAGGAGGTGTGCAAGAGGCAGCTGATCCATGATTCTCTCTCATCATTGATGCTTCTATTTCTCTCTCCCTCTCTCTTCCTCTCTGAAATCAATCCTATATAATAAAAGCCTAATGTGCCAAGTGTCCAGTCACCAGTTGGCCGTTCAACCAATCAAAGCATAATATGATAATGATATGCTAAGGCTACTCAACGATCACTATGATGTGCACTGACCACCAGGGGGCAGATGCTCAATCAGGAGCTATCCCTTGGTGGTCAGTGCTCTCCCACAGTGGGAGCGCTGCTCAGTCAGAAGCCCTGAACCGGGCTCATGGGTAGCGAGCACAGTGGCAGTGGTGGGAGCCTCTCCTGCTTCCACTGCAGCGCTAAGGATGTTCAACTGCCAGCTTGGGGAGCGGGCCTAAGCCATCAGTCGGACATCCCCCAAGGGCTCTTGGACTATGAGATGGTGCAGGCCAAGCTGAGGAACCCCACCACCACCACCAAGTGCACCAATTTGTGCACCAGCCTCTAGTATATATATAAAATGCTGTCACACATGCTACAATATAAATGAATCTCAGGACATTATGCTAAGTGAAATAAGGCAGTCACAAAAATACAAATACTGTATAATTCCACTTACATGTGGTATCCAAAGTAGTTAAATTTATTGAAACAAAATAGATTGCAATTGCCAGGAGCTGGAAAGAGAGGGAAATGGGAAGTTGTTGTTCAGTAGGAACAGGGTCTATTTTGCAAGATGAAAAAGTTACAGAGATGTAAATATAATTAACACTACTGAACTATACACTAAAAATGGTTAAGATGGTAAATTTTATGTCTTGTTTTCTTCCTCTTCCCTTCCTTTTCCTTTTTCTCAACTCAATCCATCCCCAACTCAATATATGCATTGAATCAAAAAAATGCAGGTGAGAACAAGTGTTCTGCTCTCTTTTTCTCCACAATAGGTGCATCAGTTTTAGTTCAGGGAAAATGAGGGGAAAGTTGGAGAGAAGCTCAATTCCAGCCTTCATATTATTGAAGGAACCAGAATTATTATGGGAACCAGACCATTTCTTCCAATTCAGGCTCAAAATGGCTACTCTTCCTGACAACAGGCAAATATATCTAAGTTCTTAAGGTCTTCAAAAGCAAGTGTGAATTAATTTAATAATAAAAATATTAATATGCTCACTCTCATATTCATAAATAATGTACAAGAACTGATCTCAAATTAAAGAAAGCAGAACTAAGAAATAACACAGACATAGACACACAACATTTTCTTTACTAACCAATGAAACATAAAATAAGAAAATATGTCTCATAAATGATAGCTTAGTCCATTAGGAAATACTTCATTCTACATTCTATTTGCACTAATTTCCCATCAATTTCATCAGGTTCTCTTTCTTTACTTCTGTTTGGGTGCAAAGTCCCATAATAAACAATAAGAAAAATAATTCCAAGGATAAGAGCAAGAGCTATAATAATACTAATAGGTACAAAATAGTCTGAATTAAAAATAGAAAGTGGGCAAATCCAGAACACAATCAATATCCCCAGTGTGGCCAGTACTCTTACAATATAATAACAAGACATTGGACATTTGGTATTCTGACCCTGAATATTAAAAAATGTAAAAATAAGAACAAATCCAACAACAATCCTGTATAAGAACTCCATAGTTATGGAAGCACAAAACTTAGTTTGGTTTTTAAATGCCCACAATATACCTAAAATCCAAAGAAATGACAACAGACATAAAGCAATCTTCACATCTAAGAATAAAAGAAGTACAACACTCAGCATCCAAGATAATAATGTAAAAAACTTGTAAGAGAGATAAGTGAATTTTCGACAGTGCCCAGTAAGGACTTTTTTATCAGGTAAGGATTTTCTTAAAGATATTTGATAATCAACAGTCGACCAAGAAATAGCACAGCAAGAGACCACGAGGACTGCATCTACAAAACAAAAAAATTTAAAAAGGTATATTGTTACAGGAATAAAATTTGCAATATTAAATTACCATATGCCTTACATGCTTTATCTGTATTTACACATACCCAAAAACACATGTCAGGTACTTTATATACTCATCTCATCTAATCCTTCGAAATAAATATTACTATTCCCATACTACATATGAAGGAGTAATGCTTACAGAATATATATTATTTAACCCAAGTCATACAGCTAGCAAGTTGCAGTTAAGATTTGACTCTAAAGCAACCCAATTCCAAAGATGGTGAACTTAACCACTGCATTAGACTGCTTTACAAGATTGTGAACTGTAAAAACTTTGGACATGTTTTATTGAGTAACTGATATAGTGAAAACTGCATACAATACTCTGGAAATTCTATAAGACATTACTGTTATAAACCTAGCTATTCCAGGCTTTGGCTTTGACCCTGGGCATATATCTAATTCACTAAGACACAGCATCATGCAAGAGAGGGAAATGGAAAGGAAGTAAAAGAGGAAGGATGGGAGAAAAGGAGAGAGGGGAGAAAGAGGGAGGAAGGAAAATTTAACTTAAGTGTGAGTTGGGTGTCAGCAGCTCAATTTCCCTTCCTATATAATAAAAGCCTAATATGCAAAGTGTCTGACTGTTCATCTGACCATTTGAGCAGTCACTATGATGCACACTGACCACCAGGGTCAGACACTCCAAACAGTAGGTTAGCTCACTTCTAGGGTCCGGCTGATTGGGACTGGGCGAGATAGCCAGACACATTCAGGAACCCTCCTGCGGTCCCTCCCTGGCCCCAATTGTGCACGTGTGGGGTCCCTCAGCCTAGCCTGAGCCCTCTCACAATCTAGGACCCCTTGGGGGATGTCAGAAAGCAAGTATTGGCCCGATCCCCACAGGCCAGGCTGAGGGATCCCACCAGTGCACTAATCCGTGCACTGGGCCTCTAGTCTATATATTTTTTTGTTCATTTCAGAGAGGAAGAAAGATAGAAACATCAATGGTGACAGAGAAACATTGATCAGCTGTCTCCTGCATGCCCCACACTGGGGATTGAGCCCACAACCTGAGCATGTGCCCTGACCAGAAATTGAACTGTGACCTCCTGGTTCATTAGGCCGATGCTCAACCACTGAGCCACACTAGACAGGCTATCCAGTAGTGTTAGATATTTTCAGAGGGAGAATAACTTCAAATAATTTAGTCTGTGATGGTAGAGCTAATTTACATAACCTAAGTTTTTCATCTGCTTTCCATCTTCTAAACACGTTGATATTTCTAATCTGCTATTCTATTCTACATTCTATTTGTTCTTGTGGCTTATATTATTTTTAATCCTTTACTCTCCTTATTAGTGTGTTTCAGGAAGAAGCAAAAATAAAAGAATAGGTTCAATCTTCTGAAATACTTCTATAAATAACCTGATTTTTTTTTAACATTCTGAGTTTTTCTTCCTAATTCTCAAAACAATACCTAGTTATTTTAGAATATTTGGAAATTCAGAGAAAATTTTTAAAGAAGATTAAGTAAATTAATTCATAATCTCAATACCCAGTAATCGAAGCTACAGTTAACATTTTTCATATTTTCTTCTAGACACTGTTCTATATAATCATTTCCTTGTATCCTTAAAAGTATGCTCATAGAAAATTTGATAAACTGTTTTTGTCTAAATTTTATTTCAGAATTACTTTCCTGTGTCATTAAAAGTTACCACTATTTTCTGTGGCTAACAGTTTTTATAGTAACACTAGTAGCCCTGCGCACGAATCCATGCACCAGTAGTTCACCAATAACTCGCTGCCACCCTCCAGTAGCTCTGCACCCACTGCACTGCCCTCCTGTAGCTCCCTCTGCCCTCCCCCACCCCCCTTTATAGCTTGCTGCCCTGTTCCCTCCTGTAGCTCTCCACCAATGGCTTGTAGCTCGCTGCCCTATCCTCCTGCTGATCTGTGATCCTGTCATTAATCGATCAGTCATTACGCTTCATGGTATAACAACCATTTGCAAATTGCATCTTTATTATATAAGATTGTACAGTAACTTATTTACCAATTCTATTGTTAGACAATTGGCATTTATTTATTTGTTTGTTTGTTTTGCTATTTTTAGTTAATACCTCAACTTCTTACTTTAAGGAGAAACTAAAGAATGAGGATAAAATCTCATAATATGAAGATAGTCACTGGATCCCATTGTGATCCAGATGCTATTTACTACTTGGAATCATCAACAGATCTACCACATGATAGGCTATAAACTCTAAATGTTGAACTTCTAGTTTTAGTAACTATATGGCACAGAACACGTAAGTCCCAACCCACAAATTATTTGCATCACAAGGAAAAAGAGGTCTTAATATGCAATAGGTTCATTTCAGTGTCTTATTAACAAGCAAGGTAAAAATAATAATATTAGAAAGGACTACAACATTGAAGTTTGTGGAAAATTGGGAGCAAAAATACTTAGGGAAATAAACTGATCTCACAGGTGAGTCTAGCATAGAGGGAACTCCAGGAAAGATGACAATCTGGTACTCTGAGATTAATCCAACTCTGCATGAAACCTTAGTCATTACTATTTTTTAACATCTCAAATTAAACAAGTTAAATGGTGTCTTTTTTAATGGAAATTTCAAACTGTCCTTTAAATTGAATATTTTACCCTATCAATGAAATATGCTGTAATAAAATAACATATTGGTAAACTTTCATGAGTTTCTGTAGCATTTGCACTTTCATCTAATGATTGCAATTCTGGAAATTTACCCTATGGATATACATTATACATGCATAAATTACTTACAGCAGAATTTTTTGAACAGTAAAATATTAGGAACACCCTAACAACATAAACTGGAGCTTATTAAATAAATCATGGTATATCTATAATTTATAATACTATTTAGATAATAAAAATGAATGAGGGAGCTCTTTCTGTACTGATATGAATAAATCTCCAAGACATATTGTTAAATGCTGCAAAAAAAAAAAAAGACTGTTTTTATTTTAAGTTACTATTTCTATAAAAGAAAAAGAATGAATAGAAAAAGGGAGAGACACAGACAAATAATTAATATAGGTTTTTAAAATTATTTTCTAAAAGAGTCATCAAAAAACTGACAAGTTTCCTTTCTGGCAGACAAAAAAGGAATGGGAAAAAGAGGGAGGGAGGCAACATATCTTTATATACTTTTAAATATTTAAACCATGTTCTTTTTAAAACTTAAATAATTCTATAAAGAAAAACAATAAAAAACTCTAAAACCTGCCCAAAAGTTATATAATTAACATAAGATCTCAGAGGCATCTATCTAACAAAGGGTGTTAAGACTTACACTGACTGATATTTCCTTGACCCTGTTCCAGACAAATGTAGAGCTGAAGAACAAGTTGTGGGCAGCCTTCCAGGTAGGTCTCAAATAGCCTGAGCATGCTCAAATCAGTCACTCCATCTATAACTTCTTTATGTGGATCAATTTGTTTTTCTATGAAGTTATCAGTTTTGTTGCTATATTTGAAAACCACATGATAACCTTTTTTCAAGGCAAACCAATACCTGTAAAGTAAATAAGAACATTTGTCTTATGAATATATACTTTATAACATGTATATTAATATATATATTAATTTGAAAAAAGTAGCATGTTTAAGTACAGATTTTTCCCACAAACTTTCTCTACTACAAATTTCTTATGGTGTCTTTATTGAGATTTGAACTCCATAATCTTTTATTTCATGTTTGCTGTGCCATTTTGTGCTAGCACTGTTAAATATACATGATGTCATGAGGGTGGCCATCTTGTGATGACATCGTGCATGATGCCACCCAGGCTTTTTATATAGGATGTTTATCAGTTGTAACTTCTCTTTCATTTTATTTTTAAATTTTTAATTTTTTAAAATTAATCCTCACTGGAGGATATTTTCCCCATTGATTTTAGAGATAGTGGAAGGGAAGAGAGAGAGAGAGAGAGAGAGAGAGAGAGAGAGATCTAGGCAAGAGAGCCACATTAATTGGTTGCTTCTCATACAAGCCCAAACTGGTAGGGAACTTGAAACCCAGATAGGCCTGTATAGAACTTCCCTCTTAAAACTGCTTTTTCTGTATCCCATAGGTTTTAGAAAGTTGTATTTTCATTTTAATTTGTCTCCAAGTATTTTTTGATTTCCTGTTTGATCAATTAGTTGTTTAATAGCAAAGTTGTTTATCTCTACATGTTTCTGATTTTTCCAGTTTTCTTCTTGTAGTTGATTTCTATGTTCATAATATCATTGAAAAAAAATGCTTGATATGATTTCAGTCTTCTTGAATTTATTGAGACTTGTTTTATGGTCTAAAGTGTGATCAGTCTTAAAGAATGTTCTATGTGCACATGAAAAAAATGTATATCCTGCAGTTTTTTGATAAAATATTCTATAAATAATCTATTGAGTCAGTTTTGTCTAGTGTGACATTTAAGGTCTTTGTTTCCTTATTGATTTTTTGTCTCATTATATATCCATTAATGTATGGTATTAAACTATTGATACCTTACTGTTGTTGCTCAGCAAACTCATTAGTCATAGAGCAAAATATCAACAGTATGACTGAAATTTCTTTTGAGAGCCAAATTTTTTAAACTTAAACTTCTTCTAATGCCACTTCTTCAAAATAAACTTGCCAGGTCGTGGTATTTTGTGGAAGAGCCACACTCAAGGGACCAAAGAGCCACATGTTGCTCGCAAGCCACAGTTTGCCGACCACAGGCCTAGAAGAAATGCACACATTTCTAGAAAGATACAACCTTTCAAGACTGAATCAGTCTCACTGGTTGAGCATCAACCTATGAACCATAAGGTCAGGTTCGATTCCCAATTGGTGCATATGCCCAGGTTGCAGGCTCAGTTCCAACTGTGGGGCATGAAGGAGGCAACTGATCAATGATTCTCTCTCATCACTGATATTTATATATCTCTCTCCTTCTCCCTTTCTCTCTGAAGTCAATAAAAAATGTTTATTTTTTTTTAAAAGACTGAATCAGGAAGCACTTCAAGACATGACTTTTAAGTGTAGACCACATCTTACAGACCCTATAGACATCTCCAAAGAATAAAATCAAAGTCTCTAGAGAGGACATGGTGAAGGCCTCATTATTTTTTCAGGGGCAATGACCAGAACATAATCATGGATACTAACCTAGGCATGTAAGAAACAAGGCAATATGAGTACCCAATAGAAGAAGCAGAGCCAGTAGTAACAAACTTGTAAAAGCTTCAGATATTGAAATTTTAAATAAAAAAGCTATGCTATGTTTAAAGATATAAATGACAAGTCTGAAATATCTGCAGTGAAGAGGAAACTACAAAAGGTGACATAGCAGACTTTTGAAAAGAACCAAATATAGCTTCTGTTATGAGTTTGTTAAATATAGTGAGAATATATAACTTACATTTGTTTGCAGTCCCAGAAGGCAAAGAGACAAAAAATGTTAGAAAGTAATGACTAAGAATTGTGCAAAAGTGATGAAAATTTCAAAGAATCATGAGAACTAGCAAATCTCAAGCAAGAGAAATAAATCTATACATAGATATATCATAATTAAACTGTAGAAAACCAAAGGTAAAGGAAAAAAAGACTCTGTCACCTAACACTTCAAGAGAAACAATAAAAACCAAAAGACAAGCGAATGTAATATGAAAAAATAAGATAACTACTCATCTCAAATTCTAAAATAGCTCTCAAGAAAGCAAATGAAATACCTTTTCTAAACAACCAAAAACTGAAAAATGATGTCACCAACAGACTCACAATAGATGCAATTCTGGACCTCAGGCAGGCAGAAGAAAAGTGATCCATAGTGGAAAGTCTGAGATTCAAGAAGGAATAAAAAATAAAGAGAATAATAAATATATAGGTAAATATAAACAAAAGTTATAATAACTATATAAAACAAATAACACAATAATATGGTCTAGTGAGATTAAACACAGAATTAAAATGCCAGCAATATTTATGTACAGTATATGTGAGGAATATGTAGATGGAATTCAAGTGTTTTGAGGTCTTTATATTATTTTTTAGAACAATAAAGGTTCTGTTCAACTTTAGACCTGGGATAATTTACAACAGCATATTATGGGATAACTCAAGATTGCACTTTACAGACTATGCTTCTATAATATATAGGATGTAGTATACTAGAGCAGACCAAAGCTCCTGCCAAACCAACTAAAGAAATTGGAAATTAACTGATGTTTCTGCAGATACTTGTTACCTGGAGGTACAAGGGCAAGATGTTGAAAATATGGATTTTTCTCAGGTAGAGGGTTATTGTTAGAACAGAAGAAAAAGGAAGAAAAAAAAGCAGAGGCTTTAAAGATCTTGTAGGTCTAAAGACAGGGACCTCAAAAGCTTAGTCAGTTTGCCCCCCAGGACATTTAACAAATTTTGAAACTATAAGATGAAGGCTAAACCCTAAGCAAAAAGTCTTGAAAAAGCAAAGCAGAATTTTTCTGACAGTCTTGTGGTGCCAAGGAGATAAGGACCTAGTAATATTCAGGACATGTGGGAGGGAGCATGATTACAACAGGCTCTCAGTGCCCTAGAAAGCTGCACCCTAGGAGCAAACCAATGGTAGACTGAACCTCATTCTAAATGTCCAGGAGAGAAAAGGAAAATAGTATTATCTGGAGCCTCTATAATTTTTATATATAATGTCTAACATTTAATAAAAAATTACTAGGTATGTCAAAAGATAATAAAAATCAAGGCAATTTTGCCTTTCTTTTATAATACAATTTATAATATATAACACAATGTCCTGCAGTACCTTTAAGCCATTATTTGAAACACCGAGGAAAATAGTTTTGTATATATGAAAATTTTACATTTATAGAATGGCAAATAAAGAATTTACCATATTTCTAAACTCTCAGCAAGGTAAATATTATCCTTCTTTAAATATTATAACTACATAATTCTCATTATTGCTCATGCAAAATATTCATTAAATCTTACTTATTACACATTAAAAAGTTAGAAGCATTTTTACTCCATTCCTTTAAACATTTTCATCTTATTGAAAACATACAGTTTGAAAACTAAACTCCAATATCTGCACCTAAAGTACTTTCCAGCTTCCCTAAAACCTGTACTTTTTCTCATTACATATTTTGTTACTATTACATGTTATAACCTTACTAACTCTAGCTTTAAAAAGACAAAGTATGTGAAAATACTTTGAAAACTAAAAAAAATCTCCACACAAATTTAATGACATTTACTATTATTACTATCAATTAACATATAAAAAGCCTGAAATTTTTTAATACTTTCAGCAATCACCATGAATATGTTGCTTTTTAATAGGACAGAATCAGAAACTAACCTTTATGTAAGCTATTAAAATGGTCCAAATTCCAAAATTAAATGTAACCAAAGAGTATGTTATCCTCTTAATGTGCTTTTAATTTTTCTCTTTTAAGATATACAGATATCTCAGAGGAGAAACCAAGATGGTGGCATAGGTAAATACCTAAACTGCTGTCATGCACAACAATTTCAAAACTACAACTAAAAGACAAAACAGACATCATCCAGAACCATAGGAAGGCTGGCTGAGTGGAAATTCTACAACTAGAAGAAAAGAGAAAAGCACACTGAGACTCAGAGGAGCTGCAGGAGGCAGAGATACTGAGACGCACATACGCAGAGAGGACTGGCAACTGAATGTGTGGCTTTCTCAAGTGGAAGGGAGACAAAAGCTCCAAACTGCACTGAACTCCAGTTCCGGGGGAGACTCTGGGGACCCAGACTCATACAGGTGAAACTGGACTGTCAGGAAAAAAGAAAAGCACACTGAGACTTAGAGGAACTGCAGAAGGCAGAGGTATTGAAGTGCGCGCATGCACGCGCGTGTGCAGAGAGGGTGGGCAACTGAGAACACGGTGGGCTTTCTCATGGAAGAGGGAGACAAAAGTTCCCGACTGCACTGAACTCCAGTTCCAGGTGAGGCTCTGGGAAACCAGACTCATTCGGGGAGAAACTGGAGAGGCTGGCAGCAATTACCATGGGACACTGAGACACAGGGGCCTATTAGGGCAGGGCTGATGAAAAACCAATGCTGTCTTCTCTACCCTGAGACTCCACCCCATCCAAGCTGAACACAGAGGCTTTTGCAAGTCTTGTCTCATAAGGGTGTCTCCAGCACAGAAGTTCTCCCAGAATAGACACAGCTGATCCTCACAGCCAATGGGCCTGGAGGTCAATTCCTCACAGTGATACCAAAAACAATCAAGGCTTAACTACAACAAGACTGTGTACACAGCCCACAAAGGGGTGCACCAACATTGTCCACCTCAGGTAACTGGGGAGACTGAGCCACTGGGCCCTATAGGACACCTAGCACACAAAGCCACTCTATCAACTCAGTGAAGCAGTCAAATGAGACATAGAAGCAGGTCACAAGTGAAAGAAATGGAGGAAAGCAAACAACTGGATACAGAGTTCAAACCACAGTTATAAGATTTTTCAAGATTTTTTTAGAAAAGCAGATAAATTTAGCCAGATCCTCGAGGATATGAAAAAGGACCAACTAGAAATTAAGCATACACTGTCTGAAATAAAAAATATTATACAGAGATCTAACAGCAAAATAGAGGATTGTACGAATCACGTCAAAGATTTGAAATACAAAAAAGCAAAAAACAAAACAAAACAAAACAAAAAAACTACTCAACTGGAAAAGAAAAAAAGAATCCAAAAATATGAAGATAGTGTAAGGAGCCTCTGGGACAACTTCAAACGTACCAACATCAGAATTATGGGGCGCCAGAAGAAGAGAGAGAACAAGACACTGAAAACCTATTTGAAGAAATAATGACTGTAAACTTCCCCAACCTGATGAAAGAAATAGACTTCTAAGTCCAGGAAGCACACAGAACCCCAAACAAAAGGAATCCAAAGAGGACCACACCAAGACACATCATAATTAAAATGCCAAGAGCAAAAGACAAAGAGAGAATATTAAAAGCAGCAAGAAAAAAACAGTTACCTACAAGGGAGCACCCATACAACTGTCAGCTGATTTCTCAACAGAAACTATTCAGGCCAGACGAGAATGGCAAGAAATTAAATACTAGAGGTATTCTTGAAGAAGAAGAAGAAGAAGAAGAAGAAGAAGAAGAAGAAGAAGAAGAAGAAGAAGAAGAAGAAGAAGAAGAAGAAGAAGAAGAAGAAGAAGAAGAAGAAGAGGAAGAAGAGGAAGAGGAAGAGGAAGAAGAAGAAGGCAAAGATAAAAATTATGAACAACAAATACATATATATCAACAAGTGAATCTAAAAATCAAGTGAATAAAAAAATCTGATGAACAGAATAAACTGGTAAATATAATAGAGTCAAGGGCATAGAAAGGGAATGGACTGACAATTCTCGGTGGGGAAAGGGGTGTGGGAAGTGCGGGAAGAGATTGGACAAAAATCATACATCTATGGATGAGGACAGTGGGTGGGGTAAGGGCAGAGGGTGGGGTGGAAAACGGGTGGAGGACAGCTATGGGGGAAAAAAGAGGAACAATTGTAATAATCTGAACAATAAAGATTTATTAAATTAAAAATAGATATTAAATCCTGTAAGTCTTTTTAAAAAATGATATGCAGATATCTTAAAAGAGAAAAATTACTTTTAACAGAATTAAATCCCTTAAGGTAATATTGAAAAGGTCATATAAAATTAGATATACAGAGAATCATGGAATTCTTAAGGCCTGTTTAGATATTGTTTCTTTAACTATTAAAGTTTTTTAGCTTGATTTTTAAGATTGTTTCTAGTTCTGTACATGATTCTGTACCAGCTTACCACATGGCTACTACATTATTGCACTAAATTTTTCATTTGGTTAAATCAATGGTACAAGTAACTTAAAAATTAAGTGCTCTAGCAGTTGCAAGTGATAGACATATTTGCACAATTGGACTATGAATATAAAACATAAGATCACAAGACATAGAAATTAGTCTTTTTCCTTCCCATAAAAAGTGAGCACATATCAGAAAAAGTAAATTAGGTAAACTAAAACATAATAAACCTGGGATCCAAGATGGCTTCCCAGGTAAACACCTAGCCGCAGCCGCACACAACAATTTCGATAAAATACAACTAAAATATAAAATGGACATTACCCAGAACTCCAGGAAAGTCGACTGACTGGAAATTCTACAACGAGAAGCAAGGAGAAAACCAGAAGGAAGCCCAGAAAAGCTGTAAAAGCCTGAGGTACGGAGACATGCGGCACACAGAGAGGACGGAGCCAGAGAGGAAGGGCGGCTGAGTGTCTGGCTGGCGTTCCCTAGCGGGAAGGAGATAAAAGCTCCGACTGTGTTGGGCCCCAGTTCCAACTGCTCTGAACCCCAGTTCTAGGCCAGACCCCGGGAACCCAGGCTCACACAGAGGGAGCTGAGCTGTAAGGTGAAACCCCGGGGGAGCGGCGAAAGGAGGTCCTGGAGGTGCGCACGTTGCGCGCAAAGAAGGGACGGTTGGCTGTGCCACAGGATTGCCCTGGCGGGAAGGAGACAGGGGCTCCAGACTGCTCTGAACGCCACCTCCATTCCCACTATCAACTGAACTGAACCCCAGTTCCGGGCCATTGGGGGAGAGGATAGATTGTTTGGTAGCAGGTGAAAATCGAGGGCACCTTTCTCTCAGAGGCGCTTGCAGTAAGTACTGAAGGACCCTGAGACCCAGGAGCTGCATAGGGCGGGGCTGACGGAAGCCAAAGCTGTAGGCTCCACCCTGAAACCCCGCCCCATCTGTAGCTGCGAAATGCGACAACGAAATAGAGACAAACAAAAGAAATGGAGGACAAAAAGTGACTGGATAGAGAGTTCAAATCTACGCTTATAAGATTTTTCAAAAATTTCCTAGAAAAGATCAATAAGACCTATGAAGATATGAAAAGAGATCAACTAGAATTAATAAGGAATCAACAAGAAATGATAAGGAATCAACAAGAAATAAAGAATACATTGTCTGAAATAAAAAATATTATACAGAGTCCTAAAAACAGAATGGAAGATTGCAAGAATCAAGTCAAAGAGTTGGAACATAAAGAGCCAGAAGACACTCTTCCACAGAAGCTAGAAGGCAAGAGAATCCAGAAAATTGAAGATAATGTAAGAAACCTCTGGGATAACTTCAAGCGAACCAACATCAGAATTATGGGGGTCCCAGAAGATGAGAGAGAGCAAGATATCGAAAACATACTGAAAGAAATAGTGACAGAAAACTTCCCCCACCTGGTGAAAGAATTAGACTTACAAGTCCAGGAAGCGCACAGAACTCCAAACAAAAGGAATCCAAAGAGGACCACACCAAGACAAATCATAATTAAAATTCCAAGAGCAAAAGACAAAGAGAGAATATTAAAAGCAGCAAGAGCAAAGAAGGTAGTTACCTATAAAGGAGCACCTATACGATTGTCAGCTGATTTCTCAACAGAAACCATGCAGGCCAGACGAGAATGGCAAGAAATATTCAAGGTGATGAAAAGCAAGAACCTACAGCCAAAAATAATCTACCCAGCAAAGCTATCACTCAGAATCGAAGGTCAGGTAAAGAGCTTCACTAATAAAAAAAAAAAAAAAAAAAAAAAAAAAAAAATGCTAAAGGAGTTCATCAACACCAAACCAGAATTATATGAATTGCTGAAGGGGGTTCTTTCAGAAGAGAAAGTAAATAAAGATAAAAATTATGAACAACAAATACGTAACTATTAACAAGTGAATCTAAAAACCAAGGAAATTTTTTAAAAAATCTGATGAACAATATTAACTGTTGAATATAATAGAATCAGAGGTATGGAAGGGGAGAGAACTGACGATTCTTGGGGAAAAGGGGAGAAGGGGATGTGGGAAGAGACTGAACATAAACTGTGCACCTATGGATGAGGACAATGGAGGGTGGGGAAAGGGCAGAGGGTGGGGTGGGAACCTGGTGGAGGAGAGCAATGGAGGGGGAGGGGGGAAGGAACATTTGTAATAATATGAACAATAAAAATTTATTTTAAAAAAACAAACATAATAAACCTGGAAAATTCTGACAGTACAGCAATGACATACAAACAGCAACAATAAGAAGCAAGTGACCTTTGTGCTACATGCAAATAGGGGACCTTTGTACATTTGACAACCTAGATACAGAAAGGCGTTTCTGTTCGAATAAAAGAAAAATTGTGTTAATGATCAAAAGCATATGCTCACCTTGTAAAAATTCCTCCTTGCAAGCAGTGAAGTAGAAGAAAACGATGCTGACTTTCTTGGCCTGCTTTCTTTAAATCGGCCTTGTACCAAGAATAACTAAAACACTGGACCACAAGTGTTCCAACAAGCATAAAACTTACTGTTAAAATACCAAAAACATATTGTCCTTCATGGAAAAACCTAACAGATACCCAGATGTCCACAATTAAATCAGTTATATAGATTATAATGCCAACAACTGACATCATAAAATTCGATTTAGTATATTTCATTATGAATCACTATAGCTCTTAGTTGTCTACTTTCTTCTCTGATACAAAAAGAAAAAAAAAAACAGCTTTTGTATAGCAATGAATTTTTTCTACTCTCTAAATCTATTTAGAAGAATAAATATTATGAAATTGAAACACTTAAATCAAAATGACTAATTTTAACTTTCTTTTCTAAATCTCTAATCTAGGTTTAATGCTACAAGGCTTTATTCAATCTTCTGTTTCACAATGATCTTCATTACCGATGACAATACCTAAAATAAAACATATTTATAAATAAAAGATTCTTAAACTCTTGAGCATAATATTAAAAACTTTAGGTCATGAGTTTATCAAAGCTCTATTTAAATATATATATTTATATATAACCACTAAATATATTAGTTCTTATAATACCTTTGGTAAAGTCTCAACAAAACAATATACTAACAAATTGAAAACTTCCTTTCAAACTATTTACCCTTATCTTTTCCCAGACTATTTACCTTTTTAAAAGGTTAACTTAGGTCTCTCTACTCTTCACGTAAGAAAACAGCCGTCTGCAAACCAGGAAGTGAGCCTTTACCAGACACTGGATCTGTTTTTCACCTTGATCTTGGACTTCCTGCTTCCAAATCTTTCTTCTCAGATATGCTTCTCCTAGAAAAGGCTTCTCTACCCTAATTCTCTTCTACTTGCCAACCTGAGAACCTGAAACTCTCCACTAGAGATGGAATCCTCCAGGTTAAACATTCTCCTCTATTAAAATAAACATTGCACATATAGTGGAAGAGTAGATAGCAATAAAAGTAGCTACCATTTCTGAGTGTTTACTTCATGTGAAGTGTTTTACATATATTATTTCATTTAATCCTTACAAATCCATATGAGTAGGATATAAGTGGCCCCATTTTGCAGGTCAGAAAACTGAGTTTAGAGAAATATTGGGTGTTTAGGTGAATTATCTCTAAAGAGCAAACCGTTTTTTTTAATAGATGATTCCTTTAAAATTACAAACTATAATACCTAAGCACTCCATATGGGCATTTTTAATCACTCACCCCACAAAGATAGCTATCTTTACCTGGAATGGATATGGAAAACACTAGCAGTTTTGAATCAAGTTTTATGAGATGGGAAAAATAATTTCTAAGAAACTTACTAATTGCATTATTGGTAGAATATCAGATTCAATAAACATCTTCTATATCTTCTATATCGCCTATATTCCTAATTTAGTGAGGCAGGGACATACTGCCAACTGTAGGGAAACCTACAGGGCAAGGTACTAAATATAGCAGTTCTCATAAAGAAATCCCCAACTCTTTCAGTAACCACGTATTTCTCTAACTTGCATGAAAGACAGTTCATCTCTATCCCTACAGTTGATCACTATTCCAATACCTCCTTATGAGAAAAAATGCCACCCATAAAATTTAAGTTCCTAGAAAACTCGTGACACTAACTTAATACAATAGTTCCAATCCAATTTTATTCAGAAGTCAACCCAGCTATGTAGCTTCCTGGCTGTCAGCCAAAATATATAACCTTTGCCCACTATACATGATCTCTTTGTAATAAAGCAGATATTTAAAAAGTAAAAACTAGCAACCTTTCACTTGTTGACAAAATTTAACACACATAAAATATAGACTAGACTTACTTGTCAAATATAAAAAAGCCTTCTTTAACTCAGTCTTTTCCAGAAAATCTTCATTTCTTTTATTTCTTCTTCACTGAAAACAAGTATCATTAGAGGTTGTAAACCTTTAAGATCGAAGGCCAAAATGAAACTGAAATCACCTGGTAGTTATGTGGGATTTTTCTCATCTAGTGATAACAGAGTGATTCATTCTGATCACGATATAACCTTTTATAACCATCCCTCTGGGAATAGGAAAAACATGCCTCCTTTTATAGGTTGACTAGGTTACAAGCTTTCATTGTACTTATCAATTAAGTTTTTAGAAAATACAATTTGCCTCACAGCATATCCAAGTGAACAGATATGTTTGAAAAAGAAAAAAAGAAATTCTTGAATTTGAAAAACTCTGCGAATTTACAACAAATCGTTAAGTAAGCCCTATTTACTTTTTTAAACTGTATACCTTCTCAAAACATATCACATGATTATTGGTTTCTGTTCCCAAAAACATTCCACTAAATGTCTTCTATTTCCAAACCTATCTATAATGCCCTTCTACCTCTACCTACCTGATGAAATTTTATCAATCCTTTAAGAATCAGCTCAAAACCCATAACCTTTAAGTTTTCCTAGATCTTCCCAGTCAATTTGATGCTCCCCTTCCTCATTGCAATCCCATCACTTTAGCTTCTCCTCTAGGATGTACCCAAGTATGTTAAAATAAGACCATGTATAACTGCTTTCTGGGTGTGTCTAGAAAGAGCCTACTATTTCATTTTTAGTACCCTCCACAATATGTCTACAAGACATACTTTGCATGTTGTAGGCAGAGGATAAATGACTACAAATGTGACTAGATAGAATGGAAAAATCTTTGGTCTTATTTCTTAGAGAAGTCAACCTTCAAGTCACATTGCTAAACATATCAACAAACATATCCAAACTATCTCTAGGTATTATCAAGATACCCCACAATCACCTCAACTTCAACTTCTCTAAACCAAGTTTACTATCTACCCTCTGTTCCTGCTCTTCTGCCAGTGTCTCCTTGTATGACTACTTGTCATTTAACTTTTTTTTAATCATCACCTAAGAATATGCTTTCACTGATTTTTGAGAGAGAGAGAGAGAGAGAGAAACATTGACCAGTTGTCTGCCCTACATGCCTGATAAGGGATCAAACCTGAAACCTAGGCATGTGTCCTGACCAGGAATTGAACCTACAATCTTTTGCTTTAGAGGATAACTTTCCAATGAAGTGAGCCACCTGGCCAGGGCAAGTCATTTAACTTTTAAATTATTTGTTGGGTCCATTTCTTCATCTGTCAAATGAAGAGCTTGTTAGTGAACAAATGAAATCAAGATGGTAGGCACAAAGAAAATTCTAATATGTAAAAAAAAAAAAAAAAAAAAAAAAAAAATTTAAAAGCTAAGGGATAAGAACCTGGAACTGCCCCTGAGTCTCAGGAAGAGCACTGTGGTGCAGAAATGACTGTCCCACCCTCTTCTCAAAGGTTCTGCTGACTTTCTAGCAGTTTTTATGATGAGGGAAGAAGGAGGTAACTTCCTGTCTGAACAGCCATTAATTCATGGCCACAAATACATAAATATTGATGAGTTGATATTCCTGACCTAGGAAATTTTGAGTTATTCCAGGCATTTTTAAAAGGCATATTGCTTGGCTCGGCCAGTTTTCTTAGTGGTTAGAGCGTTGGCCCTTATAAGTTTGATTCCCAATCAAGGGCATTAGCCCGGTTGCACAGTTGCCAGTTGCATGCTCAGACCCAGCCCAGCCCGCCCCCTGCGGAAGACAACCAATGGATGTGTCTCTCTCTCTCTCCCCCCACCTCCAACCCCAGCTTCAATTTTATCTAAAAGCAACGGGAAAATATCTCAGGTGGGGATTATAAATAAATACTAAAAATAAAAGCCATATTGCCCGCCTTCCCTTTGCAAAGGGGGCCGTTTATATAATTATTTCAGTGAAGGTTTTTGAAACACTGCAATTAAAAGGGCATCTTCTGCGACACAAGGCAAAGAAATTGTGTCACACACAACAATGGTGCGTCTTTCACGACATCTGGAATATTCCACTGCTGGTTTGTAAAATAAACACTTTGTAAATGCATAGGAAATGGTCTTTTTTCAGAAGTACCTGCACAAGCAACGTTAAAATACTTTGTACTACACTTTAGAACTGCCAGCATCTCATGTGTCCGTTTTTTTGGAGAAGAGTTGGGCTGGGGTGGTGGATGAGAGAGAGAGAGAGAGAGAGAGAGAGAGAGAGAGAGAGAGAGAGACTTCTTGCAATTGTCCAAACTCGATGAAACCGATCATAGGATCTGTGCTTTTTCTTTTCAGGAAACTGTGACTCCATTCTTTACAAAAGGAGCGGCAGTGACATTGGGGCCGCCCACCTGCCAAACCCAGTTCTCCAGCCAAGGCCCGGGGGCCCAGGGCGGAGCGTTGCTGCGAGGGTTAAAGGAGACCATGTTTATAAAGAGCGCTTAGCAGATGGGGAGCGCTGGGTACGCATAGCGTACAGCCGGTTATTGTGAAAGATAAACAGGTTACTCCTCTCTCACACACACTCCAGGTCCCACAAACCCGACGGCCCTGCTCGCGGATTCAGAACACAGTCACTGCCCCTAACCTGCCTGCTGCCCTCTGCTCCAGCCCACGATTCCCCAGGTTAAAAAGCCTCTTGTCCCCGAGGATGAACTCGCCCACCCGAACATGAACTCCTAGGGAGGCGCCTGGATCGGGGACAAGAAGTAGCTCTCCACACCAGCTTCGCCTCAGGCGCCTCACGCCTCCCCCGCGCCGCCATACTCGAGGCTCAGGCAGCGTCATATGGCCTCTGGCCCCGCCCCCAGCTCGGCGGCTGATCCCTCCCCGCTCGGTTCGCACGGCGACACGTGACCTCTGGCCCCGCCCCCAGCTCGGCGGCAGACCCCTCCCCGCTCGCGCTCCAGACATGTGGCCTCTGGCCCCGCCCCCAGCTCGGCGGCTGACCCTCCCCGCTCGGCTCGCACGGCGACACGTGACCTCTGGCCCCGCCCCCAGCTCGGCGGCTGATCCCTCCCCGCTCGGCTCGCGCGGCAACACGTGGCCTCTGGCCCCGCCCCCAGCTCGGCGGCTGACCCCTCCCCGCTCTCGCTCCAGACACGTGGCCTCTGGCCCCGCCCCCAGCTCCTAAGCTGATCCCTCCCCGCTGGGCTGGCGCGGCGTCAAGTGACTTTTGACCACGCCCCCAGCTCCTAGGCTGATCCCTCCCCGCTCGGCTCGCGCTGCGTCACGTGACCTCTGGCCCCGCCCCCAGCTTAGAGGCGGATCCCTTTCCGCCGGGGTCAGGTGATTGACGGCTCCGGTATATTTACGATTCCGGGCTCGGGTCGCCCGGTCAGCTGCGCGCCCACAGGCGGCTTAAGCGGTGATGGCAGCCACTCTGCAGCGCATCGAGCGGCTGTCCAGCCGGGTGGTGCGCGTCCTGGGCTGTAACCCGGGCCCCATGACCCTGCAGGGCACCAACACCTACCTGGTAGGGACCGGCCCCAGGTAACAAACGCCCCTCGCCTCCCTCCTGCCCTGTCCCCTCATGCCCGCCCGCCAGCCACCTAAACACTGGCACTTGTGGGCTGGATTGTAACAGTCCTTCCTACCCCGGCCAGGCGGGCTCACCAGGACCCTGCTCAGTTGCCCTGATCCTGGACCTCCCCTAAATCACGACCACCCGGGTTGGTAACCTCTCTTAAAAGTGGCTGGGAGAGAGATGTTTCTTTGAACTTCCTATTTCTGAAACCCAGCTTACTTTGCTTGATGTTGAATGCCAGAGTGAGTGTGTGTAAGTGGTTGAGAGATTACTGTCGCCGGAGTTTTTAAGAATCCAGGGAAAATGCTGACTTGGTTCACCTTCTGACTTTCACTCAAAATGTTTTGCCCCGAGTGTCACTTCCCCTCCCCAAACCGGTTAATTGTGCTGAGAGACCTTTATCCTAACTCAGCAGCAGGGGGCAGGGTTGTCTTGCTTCCAAATGGCTGGAGTCTGAAATCCAAAAAAGCGCGTCCCCTCCCCCCTCCAGCCCTCGGGAAGGAAGAGCCCACTACTTTTGTTTTTGTTTGCTGTTATTGTGTGAGCTTATTTAGGTTAATTTGTGGGTGGAATAACCTATCTATTTTTTTTTTAATTATCTTCTCCATTCTGTTTTATGCATATGTGGTTTATGGCACCATACCTACATTGGACAACTTTTGTGTACTTAGTATAACCTAGATAATTCAAAATAGAAATAAGATAAGATATACTTCTCCTTGCCCTGGCTGGTTTGGCTCAGTGGTTAGAGCATAGGCCTGAAACTGAAGGGTCCCAGATTTGGTTCAATTAAGGGCATGTACCTTGGTTTCCAGCACATCCCCAGTAGGAGGTATGCAGGAGGCAGCTGATGGATGTTTCTCTCTCATCAATGTTTCTAACTATCCCTCACCCTTCCTCTCTGTAAAAATAAATCAATAAAATATATATTTTTTAAAAAGAGGATATACTTCTTGAGCCTGGAATTTAATTGTATAGTCAAAACGTGTTACAATTAATACAATACACTTGAATACTAAATTCAGTTTAATACGTATTACATATAGTGTATTGAAGTATTTGCCTTTTTCAGCACATCAGAATTTCAGAAGCAGCAGGATGGAGGAACTGAAGTATTGCAAGTGAAGCAGGCAAAAGGTGAAGTCCAGAGCACACAAGGCAGGGTCGGTTAGTACAACAGCTTTAGGCTGCCTCCCAAATCTAGGAGGATGAGAATTAGGCAGGAAAAAATACCTGATATCTAAGGTAGAGTCTCTCTTAGCTGGTACTTACTCACCCCAGGAAGCCCATAGGCATTTTCATTTCTCATTGGTGTGTCATTTTAAACTAGTTCTAAAGTCAATTCCTAACATGAAAATTGCTAATATTCCAAATTTCTCTAGAAAATCTGTGCTTTTATTTATTCTGCCTATATCTTCCTCTCTGAAATCAATAAAAACATATTTAAAAAAAAAAAAAAAAAAGAACTCACAGGCAGAATAAATAAAGGCACATATTTTTATGTCCCAGAATACCTGGGTTTGAATAACTGTTCTGCCATTTATTTTCAGAGTAACTTTGGGCATATTACTTCATTTCTGCATATAATAATGAAATACCGATCTTAAATAGTTATGAGGAATACAATTGTTAAAGTAAGGTTTTTGGAACAGTGCCATATTTAAAGTGCAAGGTTAGTGTTCAATGTTATTGCTACTGGAGGTCTAGTGCACACATTTGTGCACTGGTAGGGTCTCTCAGCCTGACCTCTTGCAATCCAGGTCCCCTTGAGGGATATCAGGCCTGGTGCACAGATTCGGCCTAATTCCTGCAGGCCAGACCAAGAAGCCCCATCGATGCATGAATCCATGTACTGGGCATGCTTGAGTATGCACGTAAGATCTTTAGTTAATCTTTTCCCACCTTCCACCCTCCACCCTTCTCTCTGAGATTCTTCAGTTCATTCCATCTTTTTATGCCCGTGCATTTAGCACTGCTGTGTGTGTGTGTGTGTGTGTGTGTGTGTGTGTGTGTGTGGATACACACACACACATACACACACACACATATACTAGAGGCCCAGTGTATGAAATTTGTGCATGGGGGGTAGGGGTGTCCCTCAGCCCAGCCTGCACCCTCTCCAATCTGGGACCCTTCTAGGGATGTCTGACTGCCCATTTAGGCCCGATCCTACCATGGGCAGTTGGACATCACTCTCACAATCCAGGACTGCTGGCCCCCAACTCCTCACCTGCCTGCTTTCCTGATTGCCCCTAACTGCTTCTGCCTGCCAGCCTGATCACCCCCTAATCACTCCCTTACCAGCCTGATTGATGCCTAACTGCTCCCCTGCCAGCCTGTTTTCCCTAACTACCCTCCCCTGCAGCCTGGTCACCCCTAACTGCTCTCCCCTGCAGGCCTGGATCTTCCCTCCTCTACCGGCCTGGTCACCCCTAACTGCCCTCCCCTGCAAGCTTGATCACCCCCAACGGCTCTCTCTTGCAGGCCTGGTCCCTCCCAATTACCCTCCCCTGATGGCCATTTGTGGTGGCCATCTTGTGTCCACATGGAGGCAGCCATCTTGCGTGTTGGAGTGATGGTCAATTTGCATATTATTCTTCTATAAGATAGGATAGAGGCCTGGTACACGGGTGGGGGCTGGCTGGTTTGCCCTGAAGGATGTCCGGATCAGGGTGGGGGACCCAAGTGGAAGCCTTGGTATCTGGGATTTATTTATCTTCTATAACTTTGTAGCCTTGAGTGGAGCCAAGCTTCCTGCTCACTGGTGGCTGCAGCCATTTTTGTTGGGATTTATTTATCTTCTATAATTGAAACTTTGTAGCCTTAAGTGGAGGCCAAGGCAGGCCAGGGCAGGTGGAAAGCTTGTCTTCCCCCATTGCCAGGGAAACCCAAGCCTGCTCTCTCTCTATGGCCGCAGCCATCTTGGTTCGGTTAATTTGCATACTCACTCCTGATTGGCTGGTGGGCATGGCGTGTGGGTATATCAGAGGTATGGTCAATTTGTATGTTACTCTTTTATTAGATAGGATATATAGACTTTTCCTTATTCACTCTTACATTTCGCCATAAGAACTTTCTTTTTTTTATTATTATTATTTATTTATTTATTTTTAATTTTTAATTAAATTATTATCTGTGGCCAAAGCCGGTTTGGCTCAGTGGTAGAGCATCGGTCTGCGGACTGCGGGGTCCCAGATTCGATTCCGGTCAAGGGCATGTACATTGGTTGCGGGCACATCCCCAGTAGGAGGTGTGCAAGAGGCAGCTGGTCGATGTTTCTTTCTCATCGATGTTTCTAGCTCTCTATCTCTCTCCCTTCCTCTCTCTAAAAAATCAATAAAATATATTTTTAAAAAAATTATTATCTGTGTACATATTTTAACATTGCCCCCCCTCACATACATACCCTCCCTCCCCAGAGTTTTGTGTCCATTGGTTGTACTTATATGCATGTATACAAGTCCTTCGGTTTATCTCTTATCTCCCCCACATAAGAACTTTCTTAAAGTGAGATTTCTGTAGTTAAGATGAAGTAACATATAGCTGGTTTTTAAAGTAAAGCAATTTATGCAGTTTCTTAAATGTAAATTACCTGTGTGAGAAATATGCTAATATTAAGTGTTCCAGTGGTGTGATCATCTTCTATTTAACTTACAGGCGAATCCTCATTGACACTGGAGAACCAGCAATTCCAGAATATATCATCTGTTTAAAGCAGGCTCTGAACGAATTTAACACAGGAATCCAGGAAATCATCGTGACTCACTGGCATCGTGATCATACTGGAGGCATAGGAGATATTTGTAAAAGCATTGATAATGGTAAGCAGAATATACTCATTAAGCTCATGAGGAAACCTGTGTTTTCAGAATAATTTGTTTCCATTACATAGCTAAGTAAGCTCTTGAACAATTTACTGAATGCCTTATGTTTAAAAGGTACTTTCATACATTAATATAACTTGAATACTGTAACTATTTTTAATAAAGGAAAAAAGGTAGAAATCCTATTAATCTATTTCAAATCTCTTCTTCCTCTTATTTTCCCCCTTTGCCCAGTGATCATCAGTTTTCATTTAGTCTGTGTGACAGTTACTACTTCAGATTTCATAGTAACTGACCGTTGTTATTTACTGTGTGCCAGGCCCTGTTGAAGTAGTTGCTGTTAATTGTCCACATTCTAGATATGATCTCAGGTCTTCCATAACTTTCAGACAGTTGCTCTGTATACTGTATCTCCCACAACTGCCCTCCCTTTTCCCACTACTAACACTTTGCTCTCTCTCTCCTTATTTTTTCATCCCACCATCACAAACATAGATTCATTCATTCATGCATTCCTTTAACAAATATTCAAGTTGCTGCTATGTCCCAGCACTGTTCTTGGCACAAAAGATGTAGCAATGATTAAAACAATGATTCCACATTCATTCTAGTAGGGAAGGGTAAATGGTAAATAAGTAATAGATCAGATGGTGATAGGTGCTATGAAGAAAACTAAATTAAACTATGAAGAAAAGAGGGAGAGAGAATGAAGTGGAAGAGAGCAGTGGCTGTTATATGTAGGGTGGACAGGGAGAGAGAGTAAGCTATATATGTGTCAGAGCAGGTTATACCAGGAAAAGGGCACTGTAGGAGCAGATACTAGAATGGGGGTGTGCTTGACATGCTCAAGGCAGATAAAGGACAAGGAGGTAATGAATGTTCACTCACAATGGAAATTTTTAAATATTTTTAAGTATCTTCTTAAAGGCCTTAAGACAGCAATTGAGATGGAAATATATTCTCAGCTACAGCAGCCAATACCACCAGGCTGCTCATTATAAAAAACTGTCTAACCTAACTTTCTTACCCTCTTTCCTCCTTTTTTCCAATCCAGGGGAACTGTATGCCACAGGAAACCATTCTCTCCCACTCTGACTTTTCCTCGCCACTGCCATTGTTGTTCATTTTGTTTTATTATCGTTTCCTTTGTTCCACATTGCTTTACTGTTGTTTTTAATTACTACTATGGCTACTTTACAATCTATAATTTTTACAGGCCACACCAAAATTATGAATGCCATTTATAAGATTTCTGTGGGAAGATAGAGTAATTCTGAAGCAACCTGCTTAGAAATTTTTTTAAATAAAATCAGTGTTTCATTTTGGAATTCGTGGCTGACAGAGAGCCAGAAGTTTACTAGATGTGAGAACTATATAGACCCAAGCTGCTTGAGTGTTTTGTTTTTGAGTAAATCTTATAAAATATGTTTTGTTATCTGATAATTACTGTTTTGCAGCTGAAGTTGGGTCATTGCCATGTATTGCACATCCAAGCCCTAGAGTCAAATGTTTGCTTCTATACTATTCAGTTAGAATGTGTTTCTATTAGAAAGCATTACATGTAAATAATATCACCTGCTTATATCTGCTTAAATAGTTAGCCTTAGTAATGATGTTGTAATCCATTATTCAGACCTTAGCAAGTGACTGAGGCTTTCCTCCTGTAAAAATAATTATGTAAGTAGTTGCCAGGGGCTGGAAAGAGAGAATAGAGAGTGACTACCATTACGTATGAGGTGTCTGTAAGGGGTTTTGAAAATGTCCTGAAATAAGAGGGTGGTGGTTGAATAATTCTTTGAATAAAAAAAAAAACCCACTGAATTTTATATAATACTTTAAAAGGGTGAATTTTATTGTATGTGAATTATATCTGAATAAGCTTTGACTAAAAATAATAATACTATACTAGAGGCCCAGTATATGAAATTCTTGCACTCCAAAGAGTCCCTCAGCCTGCCTGCCCCCTCTGGAAAACTGGAAGCCCTCAGGGGATGTCTGACTGCCACGGAAGTGGTAGGGGCTCCCACCATCACTGCTGCACTTGCCAGCTGTGAGCCCAGCTTCTGGCTAAGGAAAAGCGCACTGACCACCAGGGGGCAGCTCCTGCATTGAACGTTTGCCCCCTGGTGGTCAGTGCCTGTCATAGTGACTGATCATTCCACTGTCAGGCTAAAACCAGCTCTCCAACATCCCATGAGGGGTTCCTGTTTGAGAGAGGGTGCAGGCCAGGCCAAAGGACCCCACTGGTGTACAATCAGGGCCAGAGAGGGATGCAGGAGGTTGTCCAGGCAAGGAGAGACTGCAGGAGGGCTCAAGTTTGGCCCGTCTCGCTCAGTCCCAATCAGCCAGACCCCCGCAAAAGCTAACCTACTGGTCAGATCCTCTGCTCCCTGGTGGTCAGTGCACATCATAGCGACCAGCCAGCTGTCTGCCCCCTCATGGTCAATACACGTCATAGCAAGCAGCCTTAGCATATTAGTCTTGATTGGTTTCAGCATGCCCTTCTACATCCTGTCTGTATAGATTGCTATTGAGAATAGGATGCATGCTTTTATATTTACATACTGGAGGCCTGGTACATGAAATTCGTGCATGGGGTGGGAGGGAGGGTGTATCTCTCAGCCCAGGCTGCACCCTCTCCAATCTGGGACCCCTCAAGGGATGTCTGAACGGGCAGTCAGACATCCCTCTCACAATCCAGGACTTCTGGCTCACAATTGCTCACTTGCCTGCCTTCCTGATTGCCCCTAACCACTTCTGTCTGCCAGCCTGATCACCCACTATCCACTCTCCTGCCAGCCCGATTGCCCCTAACTGCCCTCCCCTGCAGGCCTGCCCTCCCCCCTCCTGCAACTGCTCTCCCCTTCAGGCCTGGATCCCCCCCAACTGCCCTTCCCTGCAGGCTTTATCACCCCAACTGCCCTCCCTTGCAGGCCTGGTCCATTCCAACTGCCCTCCCCTGCAGGCTTGATCACCCCAACTGCCCTCCCTTGCAGACCTGGTCCCTCCCCTACTGGCCATCTTGTGGCAGCCATCTTATGTCCACATGGGGGCAGCCATCTTGTGTGTTGAAGTGACAGTCAATTTGCATATTACTCTCTTATTAGATAGGATACTTTTTGAAGCTGACACAAAATTATTTTATAGTATGGCATGTGTTTTGTAATTTTGAGATAATTGTGAGTTTTTTTGGACATATTGTCTGTCAAAGGTCTCATAACTAGAAATATGCTTCCACTTCTTTACTACAAGACAAAATTATACAGATTAAAAATAAAAACAAACTAAAAAAAACTCACCATATCGCTCCATAATAGAGACAGTTCCCAGATTAGCATATTATTTCTTGCTTCAGCCTCAAAGGTACAAAATAATGGAATTTGAGGGTGGAGAGAGAAAATCCAATTGCTGTTGGTTTATTTTATTTTTATTATATTGCAGTATTTCTTTCTTTTTTTATCCTCCATACTTAGCCAGATTTCTATGCATTGTTAGTCTTTCTCGGAATGTCTTTTTCTCCTCGGCATTTCCATTTCTAACACCCTTTCCCTAATATTCATTACCTTCCAGCAGGGTTATTACAATCATCCCCTCCTGGTCTTTCAGTCTCTCCCCCTCCAAGCTCCCCACCTGCAGCTGCCATATTGATCACTACAGCTGCCATATTGATCGACCTGTTGACGCTAAAGTGCATACATGGACCACATACAGCCAAGTGTAAATTCCTCTATTCTGTGAAAGGCAATTTAGGGCCCTCCAGGATCTGAGCTCACCCACTTATCTCTACTCTTTGCAGCCAGTATTTTGTGTTAGACAAATTGGTAGTGGCCCATATGCCATGTTCATTCTCATTTCTATGGCTTTACTAATGCTGTTCCTTTTACCTGTCTGAACCTTTTTCTCATCCTGCTCATCCTGTAAGCCACACCTCAAGTTTTATCATATTTATGAATTCTTTCCTAATTGTTTCTCCTTTCTCCAACCTCATTTTGCTTAAACTGACTTGTCCATTTAGTATTCATTAAATGGTACTGTATATAGTGTTTAATTATTTCCTGTTTGTAAGTTTTAGTTCCCCAACTATGACAGTTTTTAAGCATTTTGATGTCATGGTGCTTACATTCACTATTCTGGTTAAATAACTGGCAATCAGCTATTGATTGGTTAATTAATTGATTGATTTTCTTTGCGTTGATGACAGGTAGTATGGGTTAAATTTATTTTAATGTTTTAATATCTTAGCCCTGGGTTTGGGGCTTCCTTTCAGCATTTCTAGAAAGAGCTTTATATTATCATTATTTTTTTAAAATATATTTTATTGATTTTGTACAGAGAGGAAGGGATAGAGATAGAGAGCTAGAAACATCGATGAGAGAGAGTCATCGATCAGCTGCCTCCTGCACACCCCCCACTGGGGATATGCCCGCAACCAAGGTACATGCCCTTGACCGGAATCGAACCCGGGTCCCTTCAGTCCCCAAGCCGACGCTCTTATCCATTGAGCCAAACTGGTCTCGGCTCATTATTTTAATATTAACTAATGCCTGATGCCAGGACTTCTTTTACTATATATTAGGCACCTAGACAGAGAGAAGTTCCTACATTCTGTATTACCCCCTCTTCAACACCCATCTTGACATCAAAGCTAGCTGAGATTATGAAGAATTTTGTATAAAATAGGGGTGACCACAAAAACACAAAGATTTTATGTAGAGCTAGGAGGGCATGAGAGAGTAAAAAGCTCTTTCGCTGAGATAGAAGAAACCGTCACCATCCCAGAGATAAGCGGCTACGATTCCCCTCATTTTCTGTTGTCTCTAAGGTGAATCTGTTTTGCAGCTCCTCATAGGTGTTCTATGAAAATTGGCCTCTTAAAAGGCTGAATTGTCATTTAAAGTGTGACTTAAATATTTTACATGTTTCGTCACTAGACACTCCGTATTGCATTAAAAAACTCCCACGGAATCCTCATACAGAAGAAACTATAGGAGATGGAGAGCAAAAATATGTTTATCTAAAAGATGGAGATTTGATTAAGACTGAGGGTGCCACTCTAAGGTATGTAAATGGCAGTTGTCCAGGGAAGATGTGGGAGGAAAGGGTAGCTTATGTATGTCTATAATAATAAAAGTGTAATATGCTAATTAGAACAGACGTCCTTCTGGACGAAGCCGGCCAGGGCTGGGAAGGAAGCCCGGGTCCCAGGTGCCAAAGGAAAGCCGGTGCTGGCAGCTGCGGGAGAAAGGCCTGCTCTGGCACCAGTTTCGTGCTTCGGGGCTCTAGTGTGTTACAAAAGAGGGGGAAAGGAAGATTTCCACATATTTGCTTGTATGGCTGAAGACTGTCTCAGGAAGAAGGATATAAGAGATCTGATCACATTGGTTATTCTGGGAAGAGAAAATGGGTTGCTTGAGAAACATAGAAAAAGCAACACTTCTCCCTCTACCCTTTTATAATTATTTGTTTGAATTATATGATTACCACTTCTTCTTTTTTTTAAATATATTTTATTGCGTTTTTTACAAAGAGGAAGGGAGAGGGATAGTTAGAAACATCTATGAGAGAGACACATTGATCAGCTGCCTCCTGCACAAGCCCCACTGGAGATGTGCCTACAACCAAGGTACATGCTCTTGACGGAAATCGAACCTGGGACCTTTTGCAGGCCGACACTCTACCCACTGAGCCAAACCAATTAGGGCATGATTACCACTTCTTAATGAATAAAATTTAAATTACAAAATAGATTAGAATTTCCTGCCGGAAAATTCAAGGCTTTCTCCTGTCCTCACTTCCAAAAATGACCCATACCTAAAGTAAATACATTTTAGGCCAGACCCATAATCCCTATGACCTATTTAAGGGATTTAAAAAGGTGTTTCCAACTCGGTAATTTTCAAACTCAAATAATTATGCTTCTCCTCTCTCTCCACCATCTGTCTCGACTTCCTGATTTCACAACACCTACTTCTCTCAGCACTTAAGATTTTTTTTCTTCTATGATACAAGCTAACTCCTCTTCACCTTTATCCCCTCCCCTTGCCCAAAACATCTAATCACATTAGTTTATTGATTTTTTTAGAGGGGAAGAGAGAGAGAGAGAGAGAAACATCAGTGTGAGAGCAAAACATCAATCAGCTGCCTCCTGCTTGCCCCATCCCAGGGATCAAGCCCACAACCCAGGCATGTGCCCCGACCAGAAATCAAATTGGCAACCTTTCAGTGCACAGGATGACACCCAACCAACTGGCCACATTAGTTCTTACCTCAAAAATATTTGTCCCTGCTGTCCCTTTTTATTTATGTTCACTACCACTACTTCTAAGCCAGGAATCTCCAGGCTCTCCCTTTCCAATTTACCCTTAGTATGCTCTGTCACTTGAAACCTTGAATAACTGCATACAAGGTCATGTTTATTCTCCTTATCACAGCCTGGCCCCAAACTACTTTTCTAGACTTAGCTCCTACCACTCTCCTCACACACAATTAGCCAAATCCAAATACTCGTGAACATATCCTGTCTGTTCATGCCTTTGCTCACACCCTCCCCTTTACTAGGCCTCAGCGCTTCCTCTCCACCTTGTCCCCCTGATAAATTACCCATTTAGTCTTCAAACCTCAGGTTACATGTTACTTCAAGAACCCCTCTTGGGCCCTAGCCAGGTTGGCTCAGTGGATAGAGCGTTGGCTGTGGACTGAAGGGTCTCAGGTTGGATTCCGGTCAAGGGCACATCCCCAGTAGGGGGTGTGCAGGAGGCAGCTGATCAATGTTTCTCTCTCATCAATGTTTCTAACTATTTCTCTCCCTTCCTCTCTATAAAAATAATTTTTAAAATTTTTTTTAAAAAGGACCTCTCCTGGAAAGAATTAAACTGCTTTCTCCTCCAACTTTTATGTAATTTTTATTATTTTATCATAGCACTTACTAAATTACAATTTTTGGGTGTGTAAGTAGGTATCTCCTTAAAAGGTAATCAGTTCCTTAGGTTCACAATCCTTTATAATAAAAGCCTAGTATGCAAATTGTCCCCTCTACCCAAGTTCTTCCAGGAGTTTGATCAGGGGGTGGGCCGGCCAGGGGGAGGGAGGCCCGGCCAGCAGCACCAGGTGGAAGGGGGAAAGAAGAGAGAACTCAGCACTGGCAGTTGGCCAGGAGAAGGGAGGGAGGCCCTAACAGCAGCTGCTAGGGACCCTACCATTGCACAAATTTCATGCACTGGGCCTCTAGTATTAGTTAATGTCAGTTGCTATAGCAAACCAACCCAGAAATGTATAATAGCTCAAATATAAAATAAGTTTAATTTTTAGTCCAAAAAATGGTTCCTGATTAGCAAGTGGCTCCAGGATTCTTACAGATTCCTCCATCCTCAATACTTGTCCTTCAAGATTGCCGTGCTCATCACAGTCAGTCCAGTGGATGGAGGAGAGTGGAAGAGATGTTGCATGGAAGGTTTTCATGGACCAGGCCTTCTGTTGCATTGCCTGTCAATTCAGTCATGTGTCACTCCTGACCATGGGGAAGCTGGGAAATATAGTATCATATATTGATGATACCACAGAAAATAAAACAGTGTATTACTACTTCAAAAAGTATTCTTGACAATGTTGAATGCCCCGCCTCAAACACCAGCCCTAGCCCAAGTTAAAGAAGAGAGTAGAGACATGAGGAGAGAGCTCATCAAATCTTCTTTCTCAGGTGTGGGAACCACAGTACTGGTTTATCAGTTATCACAAAGCATGGATATTAGATCTGTACCTGAAATGCAGATTAAGACCATTGAACTCTTGGAAGTTAACTACCTACCACCCATCTGCTGTGAACAGACTATGTACATTAAGCTTTTATTAATAAAAGTATACAAACAGAAAGTGTGTATATCATCAGTGTGCAAGGCGGTGAATTGTTAAAAATGGAATAAACCATATGAGCAGTTTGCAGCTGAGAAATGAAATCAGTGCCCTAGAGCCACCCACGAACTTGCTTCCTGTCACTACCCAACCCCCTCAGTTGAATACTATCTTGTTTCGTGGGTGAATTAATGTCCAGGATCTCAATATTATGTGAATTCCATTTAATTTTTATTGTACTGCATTCTGATTAAGTTAAGTATGGGTATCTGTTTTAAGATTTGAGGGGAAAACTAGCACAAAGAATTTTTTAAAAGCAGACACTTTTTTATGATCTAGTAAAATGTAAATTCCAATTATGCTAAAATCCTAATTAAACATTTAATAAACTGTTGATGTGGTTTTCAGTTTCCATGTTCATAGTCAGTAAAATTCAATAGTTTTAAATATTAACACAAAGGCTCGTTCTTACGCAAAAGTTCCATAAACAGAAGGTTAAAATTTACTTAAGTCCCAAATATTTGACATCCAGGTTATCTTGTCTACCTGCCAATTTTGAAAGGAAAAAAAAAAAAAAAAAACAGTAGAGAGAGAGTACCCACCAAGAACCCATTAGTGAAAAAGTAGAAAGTTACCAAGGTTTTCAGTAAGGATTCTAGATGTAACGCTCAGGAATTTTTTAGTGAACTAAGTTCAAGTTCTCAAAGTTAATCTGACAGTTTTTGTTGACTGTTCTAAATTTTCTAAGAGGGCCATTCTAATAAAGTCTACTGTGTCACAGAACTAGATAAATGCTCTACCTGATGAATGAGAGGCACAGCTGCAGTTCCTCTGATCTTTAGCAAAGCACCTCTGATGTCATTTCCTTCTCTCCTCCGCCTACGTGAAGTAAATTTTAACACAGTTTTTATGCAAATGAAAGCATTAGCCACCTAGGTGACTGGAGGTTTGGAAGTTCTGATCCCCTAATTTAGGAAATACTATTGCCTTCAGTCTGGAAATTATCAAAGAAAACCATTACTGAGTTCTGGCGTGGGGAGCAGGAGGGGAATAATTAAGAAGGCATTGCAAGCATACTGACGGATAAGGCAGTTTGCAGACCCTGAAAGAATGGTTCTCCAAGTGAGGATATGTAGATTTTTAAAAAAAAGTTGAGTTTCCATTTGTAAACACATTTATGTGTGACTATTCATAAGATAAGACAGATACCCACACCACATAATTTTACAGTTGCTGGAAATGTATCTCCTGCAATTATTTTCACATACCAGAATACTTTCATTAACTGGTTGCAGCAGGTTGAATCAGACAAAAAGAAATGATTTTAACATCTCTTTAATACCTCACCATTACTAAATATAGTAATCATTTGACATATGTAAAGCACATACTTGGAAACCATAAAAGCATAATAGTTCCTAAAATCAGTTCTTAATGTCTCTCAAAAATAGTTGCTCCCATTACAAGAGTATCTCTTACATTGTTAGCAGACTCTTAACAGGCTTTACAGTTGCAATATTTAACATTAAGGATTTGATTGGATTTTTTTGGCAAACAAAATACTCTTCTAAGTTATAGTCGCTTCAGTTTTTTTAAGAGTTGAATTTTTGTAAAATGTCTTTGCAGTGTCTAGGAGATGACCTTGTTTTCTCCATAGCTTTGTTATGATCTGCAAGGATCTCCTAAAATTGAAACATCCAGACATTATTTTAATAAATTGTACTTGATCATGATATTATTTTTAAATATGTCTTTGGATTCTATTTGTTAATATTTTTAGTTAAGATTTTCCTAACTGTTCATCAGTGAGATCAGGCATTAGTTTTCTTTTTGTGCAACCTTTGTCAGGTTTGGGATTCGGAACTTTTCCTTCTTTTTCTATGCTCTGGGATAGGTTAAGTTGTAGCGCAGTTATCTGACTTTAAGTGTTTGGCAGAGTTATCCACTGAAAATACTGAGCCTTTAGTTGCTAATGAGGAAGAAGGAGAGAAGCATTGATGTGAGAGAGACACATAGATTGGTTGTCTCCCACACGTGCCCCAATGAGGCTAGGGAGCGGACCTGCAACCCAAGTATTTGGCCCTGACTGGGAATTGAACCCGCAAATCTTCAGTGTACAGGCCAACATTCTAAGCTCTGAGAAGCAACGGCCAAGGCAAAAAATATATATGTTCGTAAAAAATAAAAGCACTATCTCTAAGTAGTAGAAAGATTAGTGATTTTTATCTACTGTAAGTACTTTTTTTCTCCCCCCCCTCCCCAAGTTTGTTGTAAGCCGTATTCATTACTTATAAAATAAGAAAAAAATGTAGGTAAAGTATTAAGTTTGCACTTCAGAGTGAGAAATTTGATTTTATTAAAGGGAGAAAATGTCTAGTGATAATTTTCAGTGAGCAACAAGAGAAAAAGTAGCTTTTTAACTTACTGACATTATTAGTGTCTTGTTCAGAGGTAAGGATAGAGAATAATTTGCTTCTCAAAATTCCCTCTAAGCTTAAGAGTTCATAATTGTTTCTATTTCTTCTTTCAACCAGAATTATATACACACCTGGCCACACTGATGATCATATGGCTCTACTTTTAGAGGAGGAAAATGCTCTCTTTTCTGGAGATTGCATCCTAGGGGAAGGAACAACGATATTTGAAGACCTCTATGATTATATGAACTCCCTAAAACAGTTATTGAAAATCAAAGCTGATATTATATATCCAGGTGGGTAATTTTTAAATCTGGTAAACCATTGTGTCAGATGATGAGAAAGGTTCATTTTGTTGTGGGGGTGGGGGAGGCGGTCTTTGTGTTTTTGGCCTTGAAGTCAGACATGTAAACTGCTTCTTTAAATTATTAACCCTAGCTCCTGCAATTTTTTTAAAGGCCACAATTTATATTAATAACTTTTTATAAACATATGAGGGTTATTTTTTAACATCTAAACAGCTATTAATGGAACTATTAAACAAGGAAATAACTTACAGTATAACAAGAAAATTTTTTTCATTTCATAAGTGATCTTCAATTTTGTTAACCTGATTTCTGTCATGGACCACATTTTAGCCATGTAACCATGGATAACATTTGACCTCTGAGCTTTTAGTTGTTTTAACTCACACTATTGCAATAACATATTCCATATGAACTATAAAATCATATATTTATCTTGATTATCCAGAAAAAGAAACCTGTCATTAGTATCTCAGATGTCACTGCACTGCTCTGCAATATGAATTTCTACTCCACCCTGAAAGCTAAGAAACACACAGGACCCAACAGTAGGGCCCAGAAGGGAAAAAAAGACTAGATTACCTAATTTTTTTTAAGCCCTTCTAACTTGTTCATAACCAAACACCTGAAAATACAGTATCTTTACTACCCTGCTATTCTCTCATGAGTTTCTACTACTGAGGAGGTAGAAAACCTACTCTGGGGATCTGAATTAATATCTAATAATAAAAGTTTAATATGCAAATTGACCGAATGGCCAAACAGCAGAACGACCTTCCTGTCGACCACGCTATGACACACACTGGCGCCAAGCCAGCCAAGGCGGGTACAGTGCAATTGGTCGGGGGGAATGGGGGCGTGCCATTGCCTCACAATTGCCCACAGAGGGAGGCCCAGGTCACTGGCCAGTGTGGTGATCAGTTAATCGTGGGTTCCACGATTGATCACCCCAAAGAGGGAGGTCCAGTTCCCAGACTGCGAGAGGACACAGGCCAGGCTGAGGGGAACATCCCTATCCCCCCACCTCCACTGCCCGTAGTACACAAATTTTGTGCACTGGGCCTCTAGTATTATGACATAAAAGGAATGGAAGCTGACAGCTATTTTTAAAGCAAATCACATTCAAGCAAAGCTAATGAGAGGCTGCCCAGGAAAGGCCCTTAGAGTGTTAGTTTTGGTGAATCCAGCGAACTGGCTTATTAGCTCAGCAGGAGCTTATATGTAAATTATGTTCCATAGCCATAGCTACCATATATTAAAGCCTGCTCCCCATCCGGTACCTGCAGGGACCTTTCCAGCTAGCTGTGGTCCTCACAAAAACCCAGGGCAGTAGGTAGTGGTGTCCTCATTGCACAGCTAAAGAAACAGTTCAGAGACTTTTGCAGCCAGGCAGCTAGTAAAGGGTGGTCAGTCTTCTAAGAGTACCGTGGTGCTCGTGCTTGTTACATGATAATAGGTTAGCCTGCTTCTGCATTTTTTTTCCTCGCATATTTTAAACATCCCTCTGGCAGACTTGTGTAACATATTAATTTGCACTGTGTTAAAAGAGCACGTAAATTTCAATATAACTTTATCCGGGTTGTCAACATTTCTGAATTACAAGCCTATATAAAAGATTCTTAAATTTCTACTGTGATTCCTGTGAGTTTTTAATAGCGTCACTTTCATAGACCTACTTTTACATTCCCCTTGTCAACTTCTATAGGTAAGTGTAGCGCAGTGGTAAGAGACTGGAGTAGATGAAAGCTCCTGGGTTGGAATCCCAGCTCCATCCTTAGCTGTGTGACTGTGGGCAGGTTAGGCACCCTCCTTATGCCTCAGTTTCTGCTACCAACAAGGGATAATAATAGGACTTGGGATTTTTGTAAAAAAAAATAATATGTAGCAGTTAGAGCCAGACTGGCAAATAATAACTCTGTAGGTGAGTGGGAAGAGATCAACCAATATGCAAAACCTATGAACACAGACAATGGGGCTGTGAGGGCCTGGAGAGGAAAGGGGGGATGGGAGAGGTGGAAAGAGGTTAATGGGGGGAAAAGGAGGAACTGTGTAATACTTTCAACAGTAAAGATTAAAAGGAAAAAAAGTAAGTACTCTATGAATATTATCTATCATTACTGTTGCTCCTGTTATTATTGCTTTATTTTTATTTTATACTTTTTAATGTACACAGTAGCATTTTATATGGTTTTGATATAATTGTCTAATGTTTTGTGGCTTTGTAGGTAATTTTTAAGTCTTGTATCTATATAGTTTTCCAAATAATTCTTATTTGTTATGTATTTAGTATGCTGTTTCAATATATAATATGAATTCTTTTTAAATAAAATGAATGAATTCCAGTTATATTTAATATTTTATCTGATGGAAATAATTTTTATAATTATTCTAATTCAGGACATGGCCCCGTAATCCATAATGCTGAAGCTAAAATCCAAGAATACATTTCTCACAGAAATATTCGAGAACAGCAGATTCTTCAAATATTTCATGAAAATTTTGACAAATCATTTACAGTAAAGGAGCTTGTAAAAATTATTTACAAGGTAATTTTTTCATCTTATTTGTACATAGTCACAATTTTATTAGAGTAATCGAATAAACTATAGGTATAAAAATCTTACCACATCCCAGAACAGAATAAGTCTGTTTATCTTGTAAGTAATGCTACTTGTATAGCTTTAAAACCTCAACTGTCTATAATAGAGAAGTTAAACAAAACTTGGAGAACAAAAACAACCATTCTGAGCTACCATTAAACCATACACTTCATTCTGTAGGACAGTGTTTCCCAAAGTGTGGTACGCGTACCCCAGGGGTATGGGAAGAGTTTGGTGGGGGTATGTGTTGCACTGGAGTTTGGTGGAGATATGCACTGCACTGTGCTTAGCTGCACCCAATTCTGCGTTCTCATGAGTACAAGGGGTACTCAGCATTACGAAAATTATAGAAGGGGTACATATATGTCAAAAGTTTGGGAAACACTGCTGTAGAAGATCATTGATGAAGTTTTGGAATAACTTGTGTGTTGATCTAGCCATCTAGACAATCTAGACAATCACTGCTAGTATCCCAGTATCTGTCTCGGCAATCTGCTGGAGACAGATACTGGGATACTAGCAGTGAAGACTAGCAGCAATGCCTGACAATGGAGAAAGTACATCTAAGGAACATGAGTAGAGAAGTTTAGTGCATGGAAAGAACCCCTCACTGTGGCCTCTGAGCACATCACTATATGGCAGCCCTAATATCATAGTATATGGCAGTCAATTAGTATAATTCAATTTTTCAGAGAATGTTTATTAGATACCACTGTATAGTTAGTATAGCTTAGAGCTTAAGAATGTAGACTTTTGTGTTAGATTACCTGGGTTTAAAAACTCCCACCACCACAATCTACAGCCAGAAGATACATGAGATTGTACCTGAAGATGAGCTGGGACCAATTACATTTAGGCTGGGGCCATAATATCCTAAAAGCCCAAATTATCAAAAAAAAGATCATCACTCAGTGTTCTTTGTTTTAAAAAGGGAGGGATGTTTAAAAAAAAAAAAAAAAAAAAAGGAAGAAGAAGAAGAAGAAAAGAAAGAGAAAGAAAGAAAAAAGGGACAGATTAAGGGTGAGACTGGCTAAGAATAAAAGACTGCCATTGGCTAAAGGGTAATGTAAATATTTAAATTCTGTGAAAGAGTGCATTCCCTTATAATGCTAGAGTCACTTGAGACTATTCATTGGTACATTGAGGGTTTTTCTTTATTGATTTCAAATAGGAAAGGAGAGAGAGAAACATCAATGATGAGAGAGAATCATTGATCAGCTGTCTCCTGCATGCCCCCTACTGGGGATAGAGCCCAAAACCCAGACATGTGCCCTTGATCAGAATCGAACCTTAGACCCTTCAGTCTGCAAGCCGATGCTCTATTCACTGAGCTAAACCAGCTAGGGCTCTTAGGGGTATTTTCTATTGTAAGTTCAGATAGAACTCTCTGGTAACTCTCACAGATGAGTCATTATCAGTACCTGTCCATACCTAAATACTGGTTTAGCATTCAGAATTGTATTCAGTTGTGTATTCACGGTGTTTATGTGTGAAATACCTGTTGCAAATAGAATGGCATTAAGTATTTCAAAGGATTTATTCATTCAACAAACATTTATTGACTACCTTCCATGTGCCATACACTGACTAAAACAGAGATATAAAGATGGCTACAGATCCCTGCCCTCAATAAACTCAGTTCATGTTCAACCCAAAGTTGTATTGATGGAAAGGAAAAGTACAGTCATTTAAAAAAAAAAAAAAAAACAGCCAGCTTTGGCTCAGTGGTTAAGCGTTGACCTATGAACCAAGAGTCATAGTGTGATTCCCAGTCAGGGCACATGCCCAGGTTGTGGGCTAGATCCCCGATGTGGGGCTTGCAGGAGGCAGCTGGTCAATGATTCTCTTTCATCATTGATGGTTCTCTCTTCCACACCCTTCCTCTCTGAAATCAATAAAATATATTTAAAACAACACATGCTTGTAATACTATCATAATAGCTCCCATTTTTTAGCACATTTTTGTGTGCTAGATGCTCTGTTTAAATGCTTTACCTTTACAAATGTGATTTGAGGCACTTAATTCAAATATCTCAAATTTTTATTGCATAAAGATACAACTATTCCAATTTAATAGATTAAAAAACCAACACAGGTCTGACCAGTGTCGCTTAGTGGTTGAGAGTTGACCTTTGAACCAGGAGGTCACTGTTCAATTCCAGGTCAGGGCACATGCCATGGTTTCGAGCTCAATCCCCAGTGAAGGGTATGCAAGAGGCAGCCAATCAATGATTTTCTCTCATCATTGACGTTTCTCTCTCTCTCTTCCTCTTCCTCCCACGTCAATAAAAATATTTTTTAAACTGACTCGTAAAGTGTAAGCTAAGTAGCTTTTTCAAGGGCACAAAACTAGCAGATGTCACATATTCAAATGTCAGACATCATATACTCAAATCTAGTTTCTATCACACCAGACTGCCTCCAAGGCCTATGTACAGTATGTCAGGGCCTAAGGAATGAGATAAATTCTTCCTGATAAAGATGTAAGATAATGAGGCTTCTTTGGAAAAGCTTCCGAAACTTAAACATTTAATTGGGTCTAAACAGAAGGAAAGATGTGTTTAATAAAAGAGCATTGTGTGTGTTTCAAGTCCCACAAAGAAACCACATATGAATGCATAGATGGTCAGAAAGGGGGGAAGCCCAGGAAATGAGTTGGGAAAGACAAGCATGATCAGGTCATGAGAAGCCTTGATTGCCATGCTAACAAATTTGAACTTTAGCCAGAAACCTGGGAATGACACTCAAAGATCTTGGGCAAGGGACTCACATGATGCTTTCTAGATCACACTGGTGGAGATATGCTATGGTACTGGAGCTTAAAGGGGAACTTAGGGTCGGAGGCTTATATTTGGGAATCAATAATATGTGATAGTGCTGTGGCAAGTTGGGTTAGTAAAAGAGAGAAGAGCCCTGGCCCCTGTGGCTCCATGGATAGAGCATCAGCCCCTGCACTGAAGGGTCTTGGGTTTGATTCCTGGTCACGGGCATGGAACTGGTTGCAGGTTCAATCCCCAGCCCTGGTTGGGTCGCATGCAGGAGGCAACCAATTAATGTGTCTCTTTCACATTGATGTTTCTCTCTCTCTCTACCCCTCCCTCTCTCCTTCCCACTCTCTCTAAAATCAATGGGGAAAATATCCTCAGGTCAGTATTAACAAAAAGAAAGAGAGAGAAGAGAATCAATGAAACAACGCACTGTGAACATCAATGTTTAAGAGAAGACCAAAGAAAAGTATCCAGATGAAAACTAAATGTGAAAAATTATCATATAATCTAATAAACAAACCATAGGGCCAATGTTTGTAGCATCACCAAAGCTATCTAGAATAACTTTTATATATATTCATCCATTCATAACATATTTAGTTCCTACTGTGTGCCATTATGCTAAGCTCTGGTGTTCAGTACTGAGCAAACCATACTGTTACTATCTTTATGGAACTTACAATCTATTTTATCTATAGGAATATAAATAAGAATACGGTGCCTGAAGCAAGACATGGACAAGCTGAAATAGTTTTGGCTATTACTATATAAAAATGAATTTAAAGGGAGACGTTTATAATAGTGTCAATATTAAAATTTAAAAAAATTAATGAAATTTTAAGTTAAAATTTTCTTTTTGTTGCATTTTTTTCAGTTTCAAAAGGATTAACTGCCCTTTTAAAAAAAAAAATGTTTTCTTTCTCTTTTTTAAGAATACTCCTGAGAATTTACATGTCGTGGCTGAACGTAATCTCTTGCTTCATTTGAAAAAATTAGAAAAAGATGGAATGATATGTAAGTGTACTTCTGAATTTTAATTCTTTTACTGCCAGCATTTAATTTTTTTTTTTTTTTTTACAAATGAACTCATTCCTTTTAGGAAAAATAACACCCAGTAGAGTCCTCCCTTGAATGTCACTATGAGTTAAAGAAACAGGCACTAGAAAGGGTCAATAATGAAAGGCCAGTGGACCACACGTGGGAAACAAACACTCGCACAGGAATTAGAATCTTGCTTAGAGGTCCCAGACCTCTCCCACCAGAATGACAGTCAAAGGCATGTAGTGGAAAATAGCTTCTCTTCTCCTAGACCAGTGGTCAGCAAACTGTGACTCTGTTGACTAATGAGTTTGCCGACCACTGTCCTAGACCTCAAGATCTACGAAGAATTTTACATGTAGAAGATTTGGGAACAGCTAAAGGTTTTAGCAGTCCTAAAGGTAGTTAACTCAAGGATACTAAAGCAGTCATTCTACAATTGTGTACTAGTGTTAGGTTAATTTCCCAAATTAAGAATCCTTATAAAAGTTTAATCCTTAAGATCAACTGGTTCAAAGATTGAATCTTGTGTAGAAGCTTCATCATTGTTCTTAAATATTCAAAAAAAAAATACCAACTTTATATTGAGCAACAAAATTATTTTAGGAATGAATGCTTTTTTTTAGCCAGAAAATAATTTAAAATCCAGTGAATTTGCTTATCCACTGTTAAAAAATTTTACTTTATTTTTCTTTCCACAGTTAGCAACACGGATCCTGAAAAGAAATGGAAAGCTCATCTTTAGTTTCGTGTTAGTGAAAGTTCTGTTGTTTTGTTTTAGAGAATGGTATGTTTTCTTAACTATCAATTATGTATAGAGATTATAGAGTACATAACATTAAAGATAACCATGGGTATACTTTAAAATAATATCATGTTTTCAAATATATAATCATACTTTACATCTATAATATAGAATATTTATCTAACCTAGGTCATGTAACATTTTACCAATAGTTTATCCACTTTGAATCAATTAAGTAAAATGTTTACTTTAAAAATAATAAAACTTATATACTTCAAACTGGGTATTATTCTTGGAGATTGGTTACCGATTACCAGCGGACAGGAGCACTGTGTTCTCTGGCTGCTTCAGTAATTTCTCTGTAATCCTTCCTTTTCGGCACCCCTTGTCTATACCTTCAGATGATAGGTTTGTTTTCATGTTGCTATCAATTATGTCATGATTATGTATTCTATAGCCCTTTATCATGTTTACTTACTTATAATGGTTCTAGAAGCCTGATGCATGAAAGTCGTGCATGGGGCTCGGCTTCAGGTCGTCCCGGCTCTCCGGTCTAATTAGCATATTATGCTTTTATTGTTATAGATACCACAAGTGATTTATGTATATCAACTCTGGGTAATTAAAAAATATTATATTCCCAGTTAAAACCCTTATATAATAATTATTTTTGTTATCCATGAATATAAACAGCTTACTTTCCAAGTGTAGGTTTAGTATAGAAATAGTCATAAACATATACAATATATGAATTATATACCAATTCTTTTTTTTCTTTATTGATTAAGGTGTTACATGTGTATCCTTTTACCCCCTTGCCCTCCTTCTTCCCCCCCCCCCCTCATGCCCTCACCCCCCTGGTATATGTTCCTTTTTATAAGCAGCATAGTATTCCGCTTATACCAATTCTTTTAATTAGAGGATTATAAGACTGCATTTTTATATAAGTAATGTTGTTTTTAAATATATTTCATCAGTCTTTTACAGAGAGGAAGGGAAAGGGAGAGAGAGCTAGAAACATTGATGAGAGAGAAATACTGATCAGCCGCCTCCTGCACACTACCCACTGGGCATGTGCCCACAACCAAGGTATATGCCCTTCATCAGAATTGAACCTAGAACCCTTGAGTCTGCAGGCCGACACTATCCACTAAGCCAAACCAGTTAGGGCAGTAATGTTCTTAAATAGTGGTTAGGTTCTCAGTGTGGCCACCAATGCTTATTTAACTCACAAGGTTACTAAACTACATTACTAAAATGAGCTCAGAATCCTGGGAATGTATTTTCTTTTTTTAAGAGCTATTTATTTTCAATTCGTTATGCTTTTCACTTTTTTTTTTAATAAATCTTTATTGTTCACATTATTACAAATGTTCCTCATTGTTTCCTCCTCCATTGCTCCCCTCCACCAGGTTCCCATCCCCATTGTCCTCATCCATAGGTGCACAGTTTATGTTCAGCCTCTTCCCACACCCTCCTACTCCCCTTTTCCCCGATAATCGACAGTTCACTCCCCTTCCATACCTCTGATTCTATTATATTCACCAGTTAATATTGTTCATCAGATTTTTTTTAATTCCCTTGGTTTTCAGATTCACTTGTTGATAGTTACGTATTTGTTGTTCATAATTTTTATCTTTATTTTCTTTCTCTTCTGAAAGAACCCCCTTCAGCAATTCATATAATTCTGGTTTGGCGGTGATGAACTCCTTTCGCTTTTTTTTTTTATTAGTGAAGCTTTTTATCTGGCCTTCAATTCTGAGTGATAGCTTTGCTGGGTAGATTATTTTTGGCTGTAGGTTCTTGCTATTCATCACCTTGAATATTTCTTGCCATCTGGGAATGTATTTTCTGTACTCTTTCCTAAGGTAAGACTTTTAATATTTTTTAATTCCCTCTCTCTGCCCTTTTCCTCAAGACCCTAGCATTTTCATGAACACTTACTCTCATGCCCTAGAAACCTGTTGTGTTCCTGAAACCTTCTCATTTTACAAAATAATTGTGAACTCAACAAAAAAAAAAACAAAAAAAACAAGCTACCCAATTCAAAACTGGGCAAAGGACTTGAATAGAAACTTCTCCAAAGAAGGTATACAAATGGCCAATAAACACATGCACAGTTGCTCAGCATCACTAATGATTAGGGAAATGCAAATTAAAACCACAATGAGGTACCACTTCATGCCCATTAGAATGACTATTACTTAAAAAAGAAAAAGAAAATAGGTGTTAGGAAGGATATGGAGAAATTGGAACTCTTGTGCATTTCTGGTGGGAATGTAAAATGGTGTGGCTTCCATGGAAACAATATAGTGGTTGCTCAAAAACTTAAACATAGAACTGCCATATGACCCAGTGATTCCATTCAGGGTATAAACTCAAAAGCATTGAAAACAGGGACTTGGGCAGATATTTGTACTCCCAGGTTCATGGCAGCATCCTATATAATAAAAGCCTAATATGCTACAGCCATCCATTCAACCAATCAAAGAGTAATATGCTAATGGGACACTAAGGCCATTCAGCCGCTCAGTGTGATGTGTACTGACCACCAGGCAGATGCTCCGACTGGTAGGTTAGCTTGCTGCTGGGGTCCAGCCGATCAGGACTGAGCGAGATGGGCCAGGCACACCCTGGAGCCCTCCTGCAATCCCTCCTCAGCTGGCCAACCTCCCAAGTTCTTCTCTGGTCTTGATTGTAGGGTCCCTCAGCCTGGCCTGCACCCTCTCACAATCTGGAACTCCTTGGGGGATGTCAGAGAGCCAGTTTTGGCCCGATCACTCAGGCCACGCTGAGGAACCCCACTGGTGCACAAATTTGTGCATTGGGCCTCTAGTAATTAATAATAGCCAAATAGTGGAAGCAACCCAAGTGTCCATTGAAGGATGGGTGAATAAATAAAATGTTGTGTATACATACACTGGAATAGTATTTTGCCTTAAAATGGAAGGAAATTCTGACATATGCTACAACATGGATGAAATTTGAGACATTACCCTAAGTGATATGAGCAGATCACAAAAGAACAAATACTGTATGATTCCACACGTATAAGGTACCTAGAGTAGTCAAATCCATAGAGACAGTAAAATGGTAGATGCCAGGGATTGGGGAAGGGAGAAGTGGGGGATTATTGTTTAGTAGATAAGGAATTTCAGTTTGGGAGGATGAAAAAAATTCTAGAGATAGATGGTGGTCATGATGGTACACAAACAATTGATGTACTTAATGCCACTGAATGGTACACTTTAAATTGTTAAAATGGAAAATTAAAAAAAAAAATAACTATAAATATCTTCCCCAACACAAACACCAAAAAAGAAAAAAATAAGCATTCCCGATCCTTAAATATTGCACATATTAGCAAAATCTAGACACGAAATCTGATTATATAGAAATCTGAATGTTTAGTTACCTCGTACTATTATAGTAAGTTGCTTCTCCATTCTTTCTGATAAAACCAGAAAGCCTAATTGTCATTGTTGTTATGCCCCCTCCCTCATCTCATACCCAATTCTTTACCAAGTACTGTCTATTCCACCTCTCCCTCTTACTCTACTAGCACTCCTTAGTCCAAGCCATCATCATCTCTTTCCTGGACTACTGCAGCAACCCTTAACTCTGGCCTTCCTGCTTCCATTCTTGGAGGGAGTTAGGGAACAGGAATGAGAAGGGCATTCAGAACTGAGGAAATCTCAAGCGCAAAGCCATGATTCCATATCACTGTCTGAAGTAGCATGGCACACTTCACACTGCAAATAGACCTATGGGAGAGGGGTGATAATGAAAGGCTATCAAATGTATAGGTTATTGAAAATGTCAAGGCAACGGAACTTTAGCAAAAACAATGGCATTCATTCAGTATCCACTTTATACTAGAGACTGGATCAGGCACTGGAGATATAAAAGGGAACAAAACAGCATCTCTGCTCTCCAAAGAAACTCACAGTCTAGTTGTGGAGACACACAATTACAGTACGCAGCGCCATGTTTGGAATAAAGGAAGAGGCTAACCTGGTTGGGTTGTAGAAAGCTGCAAGAAGCCTGAGCTCAGTCTTAAACGATGAGCACGTGGTAGCCAGAAGTTAGGGGTATTTGGGAGATGAGAATTATTCCACTTGGAATAGTATATGCACATAAACAGATATGGCAGAGCATCACGTGGTTGGGAAGCTAATTTATGTGGCTAGACTGTATAGTGTTTGTGGGCTGAGGTTTTAGGAATAAGTAGAATCTCATGGGAACACAGGAACCAATCTACTGACACCCAGCTATGCTTCATATATGCTGGAGTACACACAGAATTTAGGAATCATCTTGTTGCCTCTTCAACAGCAAGAGTTTTTCCCCAACCATTATGGTGATTTCATTCATTTTTGTTTCTATCACCCTGGCCTCTCTCTCCCATTCAATACATGGAGTAGATTTGGATTAGTCATAGCTTCTGCTTACCCATTTCCTGTTGACTCAACAGTATCTACATTCTTGTCATCACTCCTGTCTTCTCTGCATATCTTCATCTCCTGTTTGGCAACAACTGAGTAGCCTTCTGTGTCTCAGATTCAGATATCCTCATAAAAGAAGACCTGCTTGGTGTCACTGATCATTTGGGACCAGAAGGGTTGCCAAAAATTTTATTAGGAGTGGACTCCAGCAGGCAGTGGGCAGGATAAGCATTCTGAGATTTGGCCTTTTCAGTACAGTGAAAAGGGAAAGGGAAAAAGAAGCAGAGGAGGTGTCTAAGGTAGAAGACAGGGTAACAGATATGAGAAATACTTTAGGAAAGGAATAACACTTCGAAACTGATTAGATCTTGAAGGGTGGGGATCAGGTAGAAAGGGAGTCTGATAGAGCGATAGATTTCTGGCTTACACGGTTGGGTAGATACTGTGAGAAAACACAGGAACTGGGTAGGTAGAGGGGGGAAGGAAAAAAAAAATGCATTGTACTATAGATGTGAGTTTGGAGTACCAAAGAGCATCCAGAGAGAGACACCTAGC